AGAAAATAAAGATCTTCATAGACAGATAGACAATAAATAATTTAGTCTTTGTCCAAGGGGAGCAAGCAAAAACTCTTGGTTGTCCTCCATTAGAAATATCCTCTCCAGTGTAATCAAAGGTTGAATTTATTAGTTTGCTGCTGCACCATAGTTTTTGATTTTCTGTATTTGAAATCTCTGGCAGGAAGATAAATGCTGTGAATGGTCTCCCTTATTTGGAGGCACACTGAGGCACCTAAATTTAAGCAAATAAAGAGGATGGCAAGGAAACGATGAGTGATCATTATTATGACTTCTTATGAAAAGATGCATCACCAAAACATGGGTCAGAGTTCCTTTGCTTCATTGTCACTGGTCAGAGAACATTACTGTTTGCTTCTGCATCTCAGCTTTTCTTGAGACATTATTTTCCTTTTGGTCTTTGCTTATTATCAAATACAGAACTGAAATAGATTTCTGCCTGACAACAAGTGACGTGAGTCAGGTGGGGGAATTCTGGGAATTGAAGTCCACAGGTTGCTAAAGCTGGGCACCCCTGGTTTAAACCAACATGGTATAACAAGAAGGAATTATACTGGCATTCTGAAAGCAAAATTTTCTTTCAGAATAATCACTGTTCTGGAAGGCATTTTTATGAAATTCTATTTAAAATGAATACAAAAGAGTGTGCCACATTTGTGGTTTATTTTTTAAAGCCAAACATGAAATTTATTCATTTTGATTATAATAAAGTAGCATAAAATAGCCAAAAAAATCTATGGTCTAGACTAGTTTGTTCTACTAATTTTTTCCTTGGGTATTTAAAAACCACAAGGATAGGGAATGTTCAAAAATTGCTGTTTGCCAATACACCTACTCACTGAATATTTTGTTCTTCATTTTACCTCTTGTGAATATAAATATGAATATAAGAACATAGAATGAATATTTTCTTCCTGAATGAAAAACATTGAACTTGAGGTATTATGTACATACATACATACATACATACATACACACACATACATACATACTTACATACCTATATACATACATCTCTGGGAGAATTCAATAATGATTTAGATAACTTTCCCTGGGTAAATATATTATTATGGTTCTCCAGTGTTAATTATATTTATACTTCCACAGTATTTAAAGACTTAAACTTAAACCAATCAACAGGACTGACACAAATTATGTATCATAGCAAGCTTGTGTTTTTGTATAATGTTAACTATGAATATATCATGATTTCCTATATTAGAATAAGCAGTTTCTTTTGATATATTTAACACAATAGTACTTCAGTGTTAGAATTAAATAAACTATTTTTACTTGTGGGTAATACTATTTGTTTCCTTTTTTCACATGAGAAAGAATATTTACCCAGAGTTTGGGCTTTATAACCACAATGTATTCTTTTCCTGACTTTTTGTGAACTGCTATTTATATTTATAGAGAAGTGGATTTCTTGAAGAAATTTTAACTGCATATTTTACAGTAAGAATGGAACTGGATTGCAGCATCCAATCTCTTTATCAGATGGACTGAGGCATTTCAAGTATGTTCTAACTCATCAGGGATATTAATTTAAAAACCCTATGTGTGGAAAGAGAATCTGTAAGCTTTTTTATATCTCTTTTCAGATAATCATATTTTATGCCACATCTGCAAAATCATGACTACTTACTATAGGCTTGCTAACGTGGAATAGTTATTGGTTATGCACTGAATAATGAAAAGTACAGCAAATTTAATATTCCTTATAATGACATTGTATTACATTTTATAGTGGACTGAGTTTTCACCTTTAGAGTAAGTATATATTAAAAATGACTTGTGCCAAAATACTACTGTAAAATGAGTAGCTCCCATCTCTTTTTCTTTAAAAAATATTCTTCAAAATATATAGCTACATGCTAATAAGCATTCTATTTTTTTCTGACAAGACAATTAAATAATAAATGGAAATGTTATTGAAAAGCGCAGTTTTGATGATCAATGCATCAATATGCTGATTTAAAGCTGCATTTAGCTTATCATTGAACTAATAACAATATAAGTTTTATAAGTAGAAATAAAAGAAAGCAGCAGATATTAGTGGATTGTATACATATGTGATATAATGGCTTTCAGGTTTTTAGCATAATTGTTTCTGTCATTGATTTACATCACATGCACAAGGCATGTGAGTTTTTGTTTGCTGATCCCTGAGTCAAGGAAGCAATCTTTATTTCCTCACAAAATTAATGAAGGTTCTACTTCTAGTCCATAATTTAAAACCACCACCTCTTTTTCTTTCCTTATCTCTCTAGCTTTCACAGCCATATATGAAAAGAGCACTGATTTAAGTGGTCTGATATTTATTATTATAGATATAGCCTTATCTTGTTTATGTTTGTTATTGCTTTCCTCCCTACAATTAATTGCCTCTTTGCTTTGCCAGCATATCATCAATCTTCAGGTGTGTTTAACTCTTAAGAAACAAAATATTTATTACTGTTATGTTGTTGCCATCCAGTGTAAGTTCATTGAGTGTATAGGTTGATGTTTTACCTTTATCATCCTTATTTTTCATGTTAACGTATATTTTTCACTTTCTGTTTTTATTTTCAAAATATACTTTTTAAAATCTTTATTGCTTTCAGATAATGAAGCGACAGTGTCTAGATATCTGCTGTTGCTGCTATTTGGACCTCCAAATTTCATTTCAGCTATCACCTTTTCCAGTGTGATCATTTTTATAATATGTTCACTGTATAAGTTAGAGAAATTATTTTATAAATTTGTCTGTGATAAGACAAACTTACTAGTTTCATATTTCTTTCACTTGCACAGTTGGATAACTTCTTTTTTTTTTGTAATAAGATTTCCCATAAAGGGTTCCTATTCTATCTAATGCAGGGTTGTCAAACTTGCAATGTCATGTGATGTGTCGTGACATATCGTGACATTGCCGGCAATGGGATGGGTGTGGTTTCACTATGATGTGGGCCAGCAGTTTGGCACCCCTGACCTAATGAGTTTGGATATTTGTCAATTTTTAAGTTAATTAACTCAACATACTAAAATTTGTTCACCATCTCCAGATAAAGGTTAGGCATTGGGGTTTTTTTTTCATTTATGTGAAATACATATGGATTGTGGTTGATAACATAGGAAATAAAGGAAGATACTGTTGAAAGCAGTTCAGTAAGCAGGATGTACAAAGCAGGTGGGTAAAACTAGGCAGGAAAGAGTTATCTGCATTCCATCAAGTAGATGAGAACATGAGCAACTCTTGATGCCTGCTTTTAAAAAGTATGGTGTGCAGTAAGTTAGTCCCCTCAGCCAGAGAAAGTGCTACATCAATGAGAACTCTGAAAAATTAGAATCCTTTGTAAATGAAAGGAAAATAAGTCTAAAAGATTAACTAAAGGAACTAGAGCCTATGTGTGCTTCCCTAGGAGGAAGAGTCACTAGACTTAGTTTGACATGCTGCCAGGAAAGTGTATATAGATTTCATTGTATTCACAGCCCAGCACAATAGCTCACTTATTTTCTTTTTACAAAAAAGGTCAGCCCAGTACCAAAACAATTCCATCCCTAGCTTACATAGAGCAAGCTGGGTTAAACATATCTGTTCCATACAACTGCAGCCTCTGCATCCTTATCTAAGAATAAGAGCTATAGAACTCAATGAAACTTAGTAACATACTACAGGTTGAACATCAATAGAAGGCTAGAAGGAGTTCTTGTTTTAGATAAGAAACAGGGATATGGAAAAAAATAATACCAAAATAGAATGGACAGTGGCAGTGCCCACAGAGCAGAAAAATGCTGAATCAAGAAGGCATTCTTTGGGGATCTTGACTGGCACTCAGTTAGAAAAAAGGCCAAATACAAGAAAATCCAAAAAAGGTATAGGATGTGATCAAGGAAACATAAAGTTCACCCTTTTACCATAGTGATAATAAGTCTAAGCCACGTGAATTAAGGTTTAAACTTCTATTAGCCATAAGCAGATTAGAAGTAACTTTATTTGTGTTCGCTGTGGTGATTTGATAAGTGTATGGTATTAACTGCATTTTAAGATCAAAGAATCTTTGAATTTTTCAGCTAACCTATAATTGAGATACTAAAGCAGAATATTCAAACTCATTGATCCAAGTCTTATCAGAAGCTAATGCTGATTTTATATGTTCATTTCAATTTCTTTATATGAGTGAACCCCAGAGTATAAGAAGCCTTTAACGTATGTAGAATTCCAGTTACTAGTAATAGAAACCAGTAATTTCTAGTAATATCTGGATCAAAAAGTTTCAGTGGCAGTGTCTAAATTGTTCTTCATCCCAGGTAAACACTTAGTAGCAGCTGAGTATTGTAGCTAACAGAAAAGAACAGAACGACTCCTGCAATTACTACCGTATTCCTTTGGTCACTTGATTTTTTTTATCATAATATTCATCCTGGAAGTGACAGAAATGAATTATAAGTGATTGGAATTATTATTATAACGCATGCTGTTTTGGGTGAGCGATACTGCAGAGGATGTGGAAAGTGTTAACATGTTCATTATGTTAAATGGAGCAATCCATTATGCTTCCCTAACTCATTCTATGCAAAGTTCTGGAGGAGGAAGCAGGCCCAAGGCCTGCCGGACTCTCTGGGGAGGCAGAAAGGCTGGGGGGATCTGGTGTGGTGGGAAAGCAGGCTTAAGGGTGGGAAGATGGCTGGAGGAGGCCTGGGACAGGTGATAGATCTGTATAAACCACATGCTAATTCTTTGGAGAAAAGCCAAAAACCAAATAGAACAAATATTGTTTCCATTTTTGCTAACATAAAATTGCCCAATTCTGATTATTTTTTTTAATAAAATATTATTTTCCTAGATGTCTCAGCTGCCTTATTTTAGTTTTTCTGAGGCAAGTTTGTCATTCAAACCAAACAAATGTAATCTTTATTTCTGAAAATTAGTCTGCAAGGGAAAGCATAGAATTTATGGTTAATTTATAATTGTCATCTTCTTGCTTTTTATACAGTTGAATATGACAAGGAATTCCTGCCTTATCAGCATCATCACAAGGAGTTCAAATTTAATTTGTCTCAGATTCCAGAAGGAGAGGCCGTTACTGCTGCTGAATTCCGAATCTACAAGGACTGTGTTTTTGGAGGCTTTAAAAATCAAACCTTTCTGATTAGCATCTATCAAGTATTGCAAGAATATCAGAACAGGTTTGTCCTTACTGCTAAAAATGTGAAACCAACATAAGCATAAAAATTCAGATTCTATCATCTCCTACTTCTTGCACCATTTTGTTTTAATTCTGTGGAATTAAAGCTGTTTATTTTTTGAAACGTCTTTATTTCTGTTCATACTCTTTGAAATTTATACACAGAAAAGATTTAAAGTCTTTTCAAAAATAATGTGTGGGATCAGTACAAAACTTGTTTTTCACTGCCAAGATTTAGAATCTTAATTTAAAAACTTGTTCTTGTGCCATGCTGTTCTAGCAATTATATCCCAGAAAGTTATAATATAGACACATATATGAACATACAAGAGTTATGATTTTTTTCTTTTTCACAAGTTTAATTAGAAATACTTTTATTCTATTTGTTGGCTTCGCCCTTCACTTAATTTAAACTGAAAAACTGTTTAAAAAAAAGTAGGGCTATCATATAACTAAAGAGACACGTGTTGTTTTTGAAATGCAGATAGACTGGGATCTATGACCGTAATGTCCATTATGGTTGTATGTTGTGATAGTCATTAAATGAGATTGCTTGGCTTAATGGCCCTCACCCCGTGCTCTCCCTGATGAAGTCATTTAAACAACCACAGGGTGATTAAGCAGAGCACATGGTAGGGGAGGCCTAACATAGACCTAGGCCCATCTGTCCCAGACCTCCCAAGGCTTCTTCCACCCCGAGACATCCTATACTCCACTTCCTGCCCTTGGGGTCTCCACACTTTTTGAGCCTGCTTTTCCACCACCACCGGGTTCCTATAGTCCTTCTCCACCACCACTAGGGCCCCCCAGATGGACCCTGCAGGCCTTGGGCCTGCTTCCTACTCTGGAGCTTTCCACCGTGCTGCAAAAACTGTGTTAGGAAAGCAGAATGGATTGCTCCATTATGGGCTGCACAGCTGTATCACAAAAGCAGCTGCCATTTTGGTGCAGCTGCAAGGAACTGTGGCTGCTCTGAAAATGGCAGACACCTTTAAGACCCAGCTGTGCGGCCAGGCATACTTAGGGACTGAATGGCTTGCCCTCTTTCCCCAGTGTAAGGTTTGGTACTCTGGAGATCCTCAAAGGATAAGTGCTTGATGGGTGGTGGAGAGGAGACTCAAGTCTTGGGAAGACCTGGAGGAGTGGGGAGGAAGCCTAAGACCTGTGAGGACCTGGTAGGGTGGAATGGAGGGGGGTAGTTGAATGTCTATGTGTAATGATGTGTGGGAAATGGTTTGGGAGATGGGAGGAAGAGATGCAGACCAAGGAATGGTCATTGCAGCTGAAACTGCAGAAGAAATGGGAATATGGTAAATCCCTCAGAGGGGACCGCCCCCCCCTAGTTTTTGGACTGTAACTGTGAGGGGGGAGAAATGTACTTTCAGACTTGCAGGTTTCTATTAATGTAACCTTAAAATAAAGATAGAGCAAAGCAGAGTGTGCCTGTCAAGGCTGCCATCAATCTAGCAAGTCCAAAAGTACCCTCAAGTCCACTTTTCTGTTACAAATGAAGGGCACAAAATCACCATATTCAAATACCTTATCAATTATAAAGGCAGCTGTAATCACAAACCATAACTAGGCAGAAGTGTCAAGCTTGGCTTAGTATGGCAATTACGATTGTCTCTTTCCCAAGGGTAGCATGTAAGAAAAAGGGAATGAAAAGGGGAAAACAAAGTGAAGGAAAAAGAATAAGATGCGGACAAACAAATGGAAGGTATCTTGGGAGGTTATAAGGAGGAGAGTCACCTCCATGAGGAAAAATGTTTCGGTTTAGAATGAGTCAGTTGACTGGGTAGCCCTTCAGTTTATTGTGTATACAGTCTTGTTTATGCAGAGCCTTGTGTTCCATTAAGGAACATGGAAAAGAAAACAAACAGAAATGGGAGCAGCCTTTGAAACCCAGAATTTTGCTATAAAAGACAGCAAACACATCTCTGTTCAGATAGCTTATATTTTTCCTACATTCAAAATATTATACATTGCTTTTGTTGCTCACACTTATATTGTAAACAAGCCCAGCAGTTATTGCCATGTGTCCACTGAACAGAAATTACGTCATGAATAATTATTGCCATTGAAGTATCTTCTAGGTAGAATGGACTCTACTCTAAATCCCACCCAGGTTTGTTATAATAATGTAAGAGAGAATGTACTGTGAGGGACTTTCAGCACCAATACTTCTGTATTATTGCTATTGTAAATATTAGATTAGATCTATCCTGACTGTAGAAGTAGTCCTCAACTTATGACCACAATTAGAACCAGAATTTCTTATGGCAGTTGTTAAATGAATCACCACAGTCATTAAGTGAATCATGTGATGGTTAAGCAAATCCAGCTTCCCCAATGGGTTCAATTTTAAGTCTAGAATATGATGATGCAGTTTGCTGGTAAGATTCACTACTTAGAAAATATGTAATTTCCTCAAAAGAATTGAAAGAGAGATGCATTTATTTAGTTTGTTTCATTGTATGTTGCACCAATGTTTAACTATACTTTTCAAATAATCAAACATGTGTTAAAAGACACTTGCAGACTGTACTTTCATGGTTTGCATCTATATGCAAAACTCAAAAAGTTATACTATCCACCAATTTTATTACTAATATTAATCTTGAGCATTTCAGTTAACTCATAGGAAACAGCAGCTGCAAAGGGAAGCCACGCAATCTCCGAAAAAGACACAGTTGCTTTCACAAGTTACAGACAGATACTGTTTGTGTTCCTTTGCTTCAAAGAACGTTTTTTTCTTTCATATCTGAATCACTGTATAGTTCAAGAAGGCAGTTTCTTGTGATCCTAACTCAGAAATAGCTCAGAAGTGGAAGATGGAAGTAAATGTCCTACTTCTGAAAATGTATTATTTGAGGATAGTTTCATTTCACTTAATCACCCTACTTGAAATGAAAGGCTACTCATAAAATGGCATTGGATTGAGGTGAAAATATCAGTGACGTATGAAGCAAAATATCTACAGAATTAATCAACTCATCAAATTTAACCACATAAGGAAAGACACATACATATATAACTGTCACAGCTTCAGGTTGTTTTTTTTTTTTTAAAGAAGCCTGAGGTTACCAATATGCAGAGTCTAGACTGTTATGTCAATGTGTCATTGAAGAATAGTAAACATCCAAAAAAAGTTGAGCATGAGGAAAGTTTTATTGAGTAAGGATAATTAATAGCTCCACAAATTGCTGTTGATGTGTAATGGTCCTGTTAAGCACCTGGGTAACAGTGACCTTTGAAGACAGGCCAAAACCTGCAGTTCTTAAAGGGTAATTAAAATAAGAAGGCCTCTGTTTGAAACTCAACAGATTGGGGAAAAAAAGTCTGTTTATTCAACCTGAATTTAAAGAAATATATCTGACTAGTTGGAAAAAAACAACTAAAGAGTTGGATAGTAACTGTAAGAAAAAAGGTTTTTTGAGAGTATACCTAAAGCTTTTTTATTACTTGATGTGATGTATATCTCTGAGAGAGAGGAAAAATATTTTTGTCTCACAGCTTCAGGATTCTTTCCAACGGCCCTAAATAGAATTTTAGAAAAAGAAATTTCAGATTGTGTTGGAAATACTGTAATCAGTTGCAAAGTACTTGTCTCATGAATGCTGTAAATATAGTCAGGATATATTGGTTAAAAATAGTAAGTAGGGTTGATATTTATAAAAAAGCAAATGAACACTCTTCTTTCAAACCTAGAGCTAATTTTTCCTTTCTTGAGAGCCTTGTGGTCTAGAAATGTGGGATGGAAATTCCAGAAATAAATGATTTCTGTGTTAGCAGCACATCTATCTTGCTTAGGTAGACTGGGCGCTGTTTTTTCTAGATCATCTGTTTGCTGACCTTATTTACTCTTACAGAGGTTTTCTGCAGTAAAAATTGTGTTTATAGACATACACACACACACACACACACACACGCACACCATCTTGTAGGGAAAAAAAAAAGAAGTAAACTATAGAACCCCTTAACTTCTTGGCTAGCTGAAGACTGTATTTGACGATGTTTTAAGAGTGGATATTACAGTAGTTCAAATGGCAAGACTGAAGAAAACCAATCAAATTCCAATAAATCTGGAAACATAGTGGTGACTTTCATTCTAATCCACCTCATAGAGTGAGAATTAAATATGGGGAAATGAAGCCAAATTTTTGCTCCTACAAGAAAGAATATAAATGTAATATGTTTCTTAAAAATTTTCTCTAAGTAAGTGCATGTTAAAGTAATTTACAGTCACAATCAATACAAAGATAACAATGAAAACAAAAGTAATAGGCTATGACTCATGGAAAATGTTTTGTGAAAAAGTATTTTGAATCTTATATGAGCATAGAACTTCTCTACTATTAAACAATGTCCTTTTCAGGGTTCAATGTGAGTCCCCTCCAAAAAAGCTAATTCCTTAAAAGCAGCCAGGTTCACATGGAATCCTAAAAGATGATGCTACTTTAATGAATAGCAGAAAGTGGCTATGTTTACTTCAGTCCAAACCATTTATAAAGTTGCTGTTTTCTATTAAAAAAGCATAGATGCCTTCAGGAAGGCTGCAGGGTATAGGGAAAAGATGATGTTTATCATGACACCACCAGACAAATAATTCACTATATTGTGGTATCATTGATTTGTGTCATTTGCACAATGACATTATGATGCATTATCATTTTGATTTTTGTTACAGACTCAGCTGCTAATAAACAGTGAGTGCCCATTTGATGTAGTGGTTAAGGTGATGGACTAAAAACTGGGAAGGCATGAGTTCTTGTCTTCCCTTATAACATGGAAGCCAGCTAAGGAATTTCAGGCCAGTTATTTTCTTAATCCAGCCCATTTAATAGGGAGAATAGGAGAAGTGAGCATTATTAATTCTGCCTTATATTGAAGTTTTACCAGGAGTTTACCAAATTTAGAGACTTTATTCATGAAACATGCTTTGAATACATACCACTGAAATGCTAGTGTGAAGCTTAAGAGAACTCCAGATCAAGAGAATAACAGATTTGTCCATTTTGCATTTTTATTTATTTTCTTTTTTGGAGTCCTTGATCCTCTCTCAACTTGGTGGTTTTCTTGCAGACATTTCATTATCAAACTAGGTAATATCACCCATGCAGATGATATTACAGATCAATCCTGAACTGCAAATATTCTACCATTTAAACTTTCTCATTGTGCTAATGGCTAAATCTGCATCCTGCCTTTGCTGGGGGTACAGCCCTATTTTCCATATTTTTTTTAAATAAACCTAAGTGCAACACCCAGATTGGAATGTAAATTTGGGACAATCCCAGTCAAATTGGAATGCCTGGTAACCCTGTTTCTCTTTCTCTATTCCTCTCTCTTATCCCATATACATTTTTCTGACCATTTTGTATTATATTACTTTTTTCTTTTTGCAATCAATCTTAATATAAAAATGTATTTGCAAGGATACTTGATACAGTATGTACCTTTTTAATGTAAAATGAACACATTAATTGATTAAAGAGCGGCACGATAGCCTAGGAGATGCGCAGTGGCCTAGAGGTGAAGATGCTCGCCTCCCACTTGAAAGGTTGAGAGTTTTCAAACTTAGGCAGCGACAGATGTTTCTCTATCAGGGTGCAAAGAGAAAAAATATCTGTTGCAAATGCCACATAGGCATCAGGAAGGGTATCCAGCCAGTAAACGCTCAGCTCCACTCAGTCGACCTGATTCCATCCCGTTAAAAGGGATTACAGGTTTGTAAAAAGAAAAAAAAAATGATTTAAAAAATACCTGAAAAAAAGTATATGGCCAGTTCAAAGACATGAAAATTAATGGCTCATTTTGGTATTTTAGTTCAAAATTGAGGAAATCTGCATTAAAACAAACAGAGTATGTAGGTTTTTTTTAGTGCAATAGATACATTATTTACACATTAGTAATTTAAATCCTACTAAAATATTAACAATCCCTCTAGGTTTTCACTGCTGTAATTTATAATAGGACAAGTCTTTTCTCTTATATAAAGCAGTGTTTCTCATCCTTGGCTTGCTAGGGAATTCTGGGAATTAGTCCACATATCTTAAAATTGATAAGGTTTTGATATAAAATAATTAGGAAAAGTTAAGTGAGGTCAGAATTAGGAATGGAATCATGCAGCATGCTGCCACCTTGAAGCACCTCCGTAGAACACAGTCTTGAGAGCATTGTAAAGAGTCCCAAAGATGATTTTTCACGAGGCAACTGGACTTTCTTGTTTTTCTTTGAAGATGTTTTGCTTCTCATCCAAGAAGTTTCTTTTAAAGAGTGTCTGGTTGGGGAATTTGGGGAGTTGAAGTCCATACATCTAGAAGTTGCCAAGACTGAGAAGCCATCACATTACATGTAATGAGGTGGTAATAGAATTTTAGACTGTATTTCTCCAGAATAAGGATATGAGTTTCAGACATTTGAACATTTCCCATAAAATATGGGAAGAATATGGCCCACACTTAGTGTATTTAGTATATCTGAATGTGAAGAAACAATCTATTGATTTGTTGAGTTGTGTAAATTTTTGAAGATGCCTTGCAATATGCAAGATAACATATGAAACATTTCTTTTTGAATCATGAAAGTAACCATGTCTTGTTCCAGCTTCATGCATTATTCTCACTTCCTTAATTTGTAAAAGCATACATCTAATTATATATCCTCTAACCTGGTTTGTTGTAGTAATAACACACAAGGTTAGAGATAATATAACATAATAATATAATCAATACTGGGAAATTAAAAGAATTATAATCCTAAACATTAAGTAGAATCCCATTTGGGAAAGGCCATTACAATAAAGATAATTTTTGGCTACCATATCTCAGTTGTAAATTCTGGTTGACCACTAGGTGTCAGAAAACAGTTTGAACTTATATCTATATTAATATTAGTCTTCTGAATCTTTTCAGTCTAGATAGGATAGTGGTTCAATCCTTATAAAAGTAGGATTAAAGAGCTGGATAAAATAACAGTGATACACAATGAAATTATTTTGTTTTCATTGCTTTAATGATTTCAGTATTTAATGCAGTCCTTTTTGTACTCCTAACTTTTGTTTTCTACTTTCAGAGATTCAAACTTGTTTATGCTGGACACCCGAATAGTATGGGCCTCAGAAGAAGGATGGCTAGAATTTGACATCACTGCTACTAGCAACATGTGGGTGATAAACCCTCAGCATAATTTGGGACTCCAGATGAGTGTGGTGACTAGAGATGGTAGGTATTAGACCAACGTATTCTAAACATCTGACCTTGTCATTAAGTGAAGCTATGTTTATAACATTAAGCTATCTATCTGGCTCATGCAGTCACACAGCTGTGATACGATATAGCTTTGGCTCTGAATCCAATAGCACAGATTGAAAGCTTCTTGATTATTTTATCACATGTTTGTAATTATGAAATACTGAGAATTCCTGGCTTGTGAATATTGTTGGCGGTTGTTGAAAAACTCTCTGAAAGTACTTTTTTCTAGGAATGACTACTACATGTAGGGTAACTGAACCATTGCCTAGGAGGCAGATAGAAATGTCAATGTGTTTTCTTGACTGGATCAGAAATCACACTGCTTTTCTTTGTAGACCAGAAGTGGTGATACAGTGTAAAATATTGCATCAGTCTATAACAGGGGTGTCAAACTGCCGGCCCACGGGCCGGACACATCACACAGAAGCCGTGCCCACCCCATTGCCAGCAATGGCAAAACTGTCCCAACACGTTGCACAATGTCACGTGATGTCGCGAGTTTGACATGTTTGGTCTATAAGGCTGTACATCTGATAAATCTATGGTACTTAACTTGTGTAATGCTGGTGGGGGTCTCATGCTACATTTCATTTTATTAATAATTAATAATTAAACAGGTTGGTAGAATGCCTTTCAGCTTCAATTGATGGGGAAGTGTACCATTTTTAGCTGCTTAGCTAGATTGGTTTTGTTCTTAGTTCTGCTTTGTCAATCCAGCTATTTATGTTTCTGAACTATGGTTTATTGATTACCACCTTCGCAAGTCCAACAGATCCAGGCTGATACGATGTGATTTAATTGCTTTCCATTTGTTGTTAACAAGCCTTTTTTAAAAATAATGCAGGAAACATTATGCAAGACAAAAGAACTGTGCGAAATAAATTTGATTCAACTGCCATTTTCATGTTATAATTTTTAAATAATGATAATAGCTATTGAATAGAAAGAACGAGCAGGGGAAAATTAAAGAGGGTCAGTAAGATGTTGCATGTATGAAAACATCTGCTTGTCTCAAAAGAACTATTCAGAAACACTGTACACTTTATATGACATACTATCTTTTTTGGTTTAATTTATAGGTCTCAGTATAAACCCTAGAGAAGCAGGACTAATAGGTCGAGATGGCCCTTATGATAAACAGCCTTTCATGGTGGCTTTTTTTAAAGTGAGTGAAGTTCATGTTCGGACTGTTAGGTCAGCACCCAGCAGACGCAGGGACCAGAGCAGAAACCGCTCCACACAACCACAAGATGTTTCCAGGACATCCAGTATCACAGGTAACCTCTTATATACCTGCTGGGCTATGTTTATTCATTACACATCATTTTTGAGCATTTTAAGATTTTTTTTTATTCACATCTATTTTTATCTTTGCTTTCTCTTCTGTAGTTATGTTCAATAAAAAAATAGCCCTAATATTTTAATTGGCCCTTCAACTTTATACACATGAAATCATCATTAGTATCTTTCTGCAATATTTATTTTTAAGTACAAGTTGCTCAACTGGTTGATTCACAACCAGTTTTGAAGCCTACCAATCTCAGATTGCTTTTGGTGCAAAAGTTGATCATTTAATATATGTTCCAACCCAGTTATGACAGAACTTTAACTTGGCTTAATGTTTTGTGATCATACTGTCATTTTGATTAAATAGAAAAGTTACTGTAGCAAAAGTGAGAATTGTGACTCTCAATGCTGTAATATAAATTTCAAAATTGTAAGTTTTAGGTAGCAATACGTTCTGTAAAATTTGATTAATTTTAAATGCAAAACTATTTATAGGCTTAAAAAGAGAGCTTCTTTTTCATTCAAAGCCTGATTTATTATTTCAGATCATAGTCTTAAAATTAACGTAATCAACAAAAAATACTGGAATTGTTGTAATGACAGGAAGTTGTGTTACTTCAAACAAAATATACAATGCTTTTTAGCAAGTTTTGTTTTACTATAGTTTGAAAAAACAATGGACTTCAGATAATATAGTTGAAACACACACACATCTGAATCTACTACTTGAATAACTACTAGGTAGACCAGGGCTCTTCAAACTTGGCCCTTTTATGACTTGTGAACTTCAATTCCCAGAATTCCTTAGCCACGCTGGCTAAGGAATTCTGGGAGTTGAAGTTCACAAGTCATAAAAGGGCCACGTTTAAAGAGCCCTGAGGTAGACAAACTGGTCAATATACATAAGCTTGAATGTGTATAATAATCAGCCCAGATCAATCCATTGTAGGATGAAAGCCTCTTCATTGAAAGCTATAGACTAATCTGCACACCAACCCAATGCGGTTTGGTAAATAGATGTTTTTAATTTCCCACTCTAGGACTAGAGTGAGTGACTAAGTCAGACTCACCCAAACTTTCATGCTTAAGTGAGAATCTGGGTCTTTCTGTTTCTAGTCTTACCGTAGCACCTTCACTATTACACTATACTGGCTTTTTAAAAAACCAAGAACTAAATAATTGTGTGTGCTTTGGAGATTGGAGATTAAATCTTACTTAGAAACTGGGTTATTTTCTTCCAGAGTTATTGTTTATTACATATCTTCAAGTCAATCCTGCCATTGATTTTATCTACAAATGCTCAAATCTCAGCCTGTCTCAGGCATTTTTTATGTTTCCTTTATTCTCAATCTTGCCAAGCACGCTCATTTTTTTCCTAGTTTATCATCTGCTTGAATCACTTTGTAAAGAATTTGAGTGTCTGATTCCTGATCATTACCTCAAAGGAGCAGTCAATCTTCATTAATTTCATTTTTGGAGCTTATGGTAATCTTAATTGTCTCAAAATCCTTAATTTGGAGAAGCCCATTTTCTTTCTCTTAGTCTTATTGAAGGTTAGTTTTTCATATTGATATCTTACTACGGGGGGGGGGGGTTGCTATGGCTGTTGTGATCTTTGTTGTTGTATATCCTTTTTCTTCATGAGCTTATGTAAATTTGTCATACTTTCATCTCTAGTATTGATTAATCCTTTGTTTGTCCAGCATTTGCTCCATTATTCATTCTTGAGCCCAACAAAGTTAAATATCATCTTCATGTTTTCCTGGTCAACTCAGAATTCACAAAACATGATGGCATTATCTGTGTCATCCTAATATTTCAAATAATTCCAGATTTTTCATTTTTTACTTTCATAATGAGGTCATCTAAGTTTCTTAATATTCATTTAAAGAATTAATGTCAGCTATATGTCTTAAATTATCAGTGTTTCAATCTCCAGTTTTGATTTCAGCTGTCACCTTAAAATTCTTAAATATATATTCTTAAAATATATTTAAAAAGGTATGGAGACAATATAACTTTGTCTTACTTCTTTCCCTATTCAGGACTATTTGTTGCTCTACATTCATGTCTTACAGTAGCTTTTTGTTCATTTAAAAAATTCCTCATAACAATAATCAAGTTTTCTGGCAAATTTGTTAGCTTTAATGCATTCCACATTCTGTTCTGATCCACACAAAGGCTTTGCTGTAGTCAATAAAATAATAAACTCTCTTCCTTAAATTATCTTGCTTTCTCCATAAACCATTTGCCTGTGCTAAGGAAATACTTTCTGGGATAAAACAAACAGGGAAGATATTTGGACAGCAGAACACCAACAATTGTCTGTAACTTAACTCCAAGCAGAAATACTCCTAAACACCTCAATTTCCTAGTGATAAGAGAAATCAGAGACTGATTTAGAAGAGAGTGTATTTTACAAAAGCTCATACCTTTTAATAAAATTTGTTAGTTTGAAAAAGTACTACTAGGCCCCTGATTTTTGACTATCATAGAATACAGGTAATCCTCAACTTATGACCACTATTGAGCTCAAAATTTCTGTTGCTAAGTGAGACATTTGTTAATTGAATTTTGCCTCATTTTATGATCTTTCTTGCCACAGTTGTTAAGTGAATTACTCCAATTGTTAAGTTGGTAACACAATAGTTCAGTGAATCTGGTTTCCCCACTGACTTTGCTTGTAAGGTTGCAAAAGGTACTCACATGACCCCAGGACACTGCAACTGTCATAAATATGAGATAGTTGTCAAGCTTCTGAACTTTGGTCATATGACTGGGGCTGCTGCAACAGTCATTAAGTGTGAAAAATGGTCACTTTTTCAGAACTGTTGTATGTTGAGGACTGCCTGTACAGTTTTCATTCTAAAATGTCTACTTTGGGGAGGCAGATTTCTGATAGATTATAACAGCTTCTCTCTTTTAACCTGTGCTGGTGCTATGTCGATTATTTAGGACAGTGGTGGTGAACCTATGGCATGCGTGCCAGAGGCGGCACTCAGAGCCCTCTCTGTGGGCATGCGCACCATGCCCCGGAGATGGCAACCGTCCTCTTCAACCAGCCTCCCGCTAACTCACCAACTCACCAACTCACCCACATGGCCGGATGCATCCCAGCACCCATGTGCTCGCTGGCCTGTGTGTGTGGGGGCCAATGGTGTCAGGCAGCAGCCGCCCCGACCCTTGCCTCGCCTTGCCCTGCGACAATTGCATCCCTGCCCTGCCTCACTTTGCCTCACCTTATCCCGCAGGACAAGCCTCCTGCCCACCATCCCACCCACCAGAGACCCCCTGGATCTCCCCCAACCCTGCCCAGCTCCCACAGGCGTCCATCCCCAGGAGCAACATCGAGCTGGCCACACCCATCCTGACCATGCCCACCCATCTGCCATGACCACTGTAATCACACCCACCCAGCGGGCCATGCCCACCTGGCACCTGGCGATACATAAGTAGTTTTGGGTTGCAGTTTGGGCACTCGGTCTCTAAAAGGTTTGCCATCACTGATTTAGGAGGATAGATCTGAGTGAAGTCTGATATCATCAGGTCACCCTATCAGAACTCAGTGATAAAAAAGCAAACCAGCCCTTTCATCGAGGTAGAATAGTAGAACAGCAAAGCATTGAAGACTGGGAATACAGGATGGGGGGGGGGGAAAGGGACTACCCATAACACATCCCTGTTGCTCTGATGACCACTTATCTCTCTGGCTTTTCCAAAACATTGCTGATAAGAACAACTTTACACATATTAAATAGGACTAAACAACCTTAGGTTACAAAAAATAACCCAAACCTGTGCTAGCCTAGTATTCCTTCAAATAATTTTAATCTCCTGCCCGGTAGAATTAAAAAATGATTTTGGATTTCCAAAATCCAAAATAGGCCCTGTAAGGTTCTGAAGTTATGCTTTCAGATCATTGCAGTCAATAACCTGCAAAATTTAACATGTTTTAAAACAGGTGTGGATTGTCTGTGATCCATGCAGCCTCTCTACTATGCTGCTTAATTTTGCACTTTTGAGTGCTGAAAATCAGCACTATACTACATCCTAAGGAAACTGATCAATGCTAAGGCTATGGTTTTTAAAACTGCTTTCACAGAATTAAAAACAATGTTTATTTTTTATTCTTAAAAAATTCTGCAAGAAAATAATGTGTGTAGCAATGCCCCATTTATGTAGTAGCTGTTATGGTTTTTGTCTTCCATGTGCTATGTGCACCTTTGCCTATTAAAAACTGCATACCTTTGCTTTAGAACTTACATCAATCTACAATTTCCAACAGTTTTTTATATATACCTCCTAACAGATTATAACAGCAGCGACCTAAAAACAGCTTGCAGAAAGCATGAACTTTATGTTAGCTTCCAAGACTTGGGATGGCAGGTATGTGGTGTTTCTGTCTTAAATGTAGCCTTAAAACAGTATCTGGGATATTGATGCTAGTTTTCTTTTTAGCAAATTTAATGTGTTCATGTTCTACCAAAGTACATACAGGGAAAAAGGAAACCTTGAATATCCTGTTCAGTGATATATTTGACATAATCTTAACTTGGATCGAAGAGCAAATTTTAGTTATAGCTACAATAAAATGCTTTTTCAGTTGTTTTCTAGAACATATTGATTACTATTTTGTTTACTTTGTAATATTTAAAGTCCTCTCCATTCCTGATGGATTTTGAGCAGAATCAGCAAAACTATCATTTGGTTTGTCAGTTTTTAAATTTTAATAATTCCTATTATAAGTTCTCCATTTGCTTGTAAAGCCCTCTGACTGTAAGTTCCAAGTGTCTAAAGTCTTGCATAGATCTTACTAAAATGGCTTCCTTCCTTTTGAATTAAAATCTGTCTTTCTGTAATTGAATCTTGCCTTGCTGGTGCATGCAATAGTGTGTAGTAAAATGGTTCTAGGCAAGGAATCCTTTGTTTCTAGCTGTAGAAGCTTCCATTTAAAAATGTAGCTTATATTTATGTGGAGGCTGTGTGCACATGTATTATAACGTTATATATATATTATACTGTTATGGAAACAAATGCACTTTCCATACACAACAGTCATGCAAGAAATGTCAGGATCCCTTTTGTAGTCTCTAAACCAGGCATGTCAAACTCGTGACGTCATGTGACGTCGCACGACATATCGGAGCTTTTTCTCCACTGCTGGCAACGGGTGGGCGCTGTTTCTTGGTGATGCATCTGGCCTGTGGGCCGGCAGTTTGATACCCCTGCTCTAAACGCTCACAATAGGTAGAACCAAATTGTGAGTTTTTTTGTTTGCATACACTGGGCATGCAAGTGTAAAATGAGGACCAAACACTTGGCGATGTTGAAATCGTTGTTTGCAACCTAACAACCTAATGCAAAAACTCTTTTGATCATTCTTTTAATCCCTTAAAAATCCTGAAGCGCCCTTCCAGAACATTCTCTACCCTTTCCTACTTTAGGAGTGGATCCTTTGACATGGCACACAAAGCTGAGGTGCTGGAATCTGTGGTTCTGTGTTATAGACATTCACCATGTCTATAACTTAGTGACCATTTTTTACAGTCATGACCTTTGCAGGTCTGTAAAGCAAAGGAAAGCTAAGTGAGATCATAAGCACAGTTGCAATTTCACTTACTGACCATTTCGCTTAACAACCAAGTTGCTGGTTCCAGTTGTGGTTGCTAAATGGGGATTACTTGTATATGAGTATACACTTCACAGGATTGGCAGAGAAGATTCAGCATTACTTTAATAATGCATGAAAGTCAGTATTAAAAGCAATGATAAAGTTTTTTCCTGAAATCAGTGTTTCTCTGTGAATTTGGAGGATGTTATACAGAATGGTTTACTATCTCTTACATTGGTTTTTTATATTACATAAAGACAACTTTGTACTACAGAAATTATTTTTATATTGTCTAAAATTCAAGACATAGTAAACAATTTTATAACATCCTGCAAATTCATAGAGAAACACTGTTTTCAATGTCCTTGTTGTATGTATATTTAACCTGAGTTGTTCTAACCCATGTAATATTCTTTTTAAGGATTGGATAATTGCACCAAAGGGTTATGCAGCAAACTACTGTGATGGAGAATGCTCTTTCCCTCTCAATGCTCATATGAATGCCACAAATCATGCCATTGTGCAAACTTTGGTAAGTATATGTGTTATTGCATAGCTCATAATTGTAATTGTTATGAAGAATTTAAACTTGTGTCTTTCTTCCTGAAGTTGTTACATAGCTGATTTCTCCAGCATATCTATTGGCTAACTTAAACTTTCATAGAAATAGGAAGATAATCTTGACATTAATAAATTAAGTCATCAGTGTTAGAGGTGGGAAGGCTAGCAGGATTATAGAAAGCAGAGGAAGATCTAAGACGGGCAAATTCTGATTTCATTAACTTTTTACGAAAATGTACAACTGCATCTAACTTTAAGTAGCTAAAAATAATAGTATAGGCTCCCAAATTTTGCAAAATTGAATAAGAACATAGGGTGGCTATGAAGACATGGAGGTACTCTTATAAACATGCCGCAATCTCAGATGGCTCAGATAAAAGTTTAGTTTAGGAAGGACTGAATTGAAATTACAGGTAATACTATCAATTTTTTTAAACAGGTTCACCTAATGAATCCGGAGAATGTTCCTAAACCATGTTGTGCTCCTACAAAACTTAATGCAATTTCAGTTCTTTACTTTGATGACAATTCCAACGTCATTTTGAAAAAATACAGGAATATGGTGGTAAGAGCTTGTGGGTGTCACTGACAAAGTATCCTTACAAGAAGCAGCAAAGGAAAATCTAATGCTTCTGGAATAGCATTTGTGCCTTCAGAAGGAATAATGAAAAGCAAAGAATTCTGTTACTACTTGTTAAGTATTTGCACAGTCATTGCTTTTTGATCTTATAATTTTAAATAGGCCAGAGCAAGTTATAAAATATGAATCCTGTGAATATAGACTGATCTGACAAAAGTAACCTGATGTTTCAACTACATTTCAGTCTTACTAAACAAGCATCCCTCACATTTTGGATAATATCTCAAGAAGAAAACAGGAATCTATCTAAGGAATAAAAAGCACAATTTTAACTTGAAATTACAACCACATAGATATTAACAAAACTATCTTTGCTTACCCTTAAGGCATAAAAACCGAATATGTGAGATCCTGGAAACTACTGCAAGAAAATGTCTTCTGTTTTGATGAACTGTTTCACTTAAATTGCTTCCTTTAGAAGCTAAAGACAGCTTTTATACACTATCCTTTCAAATAAAAAAGAACTGGTCATATGTCTCTTAATCTGATTAGGGCAACCTTCTTTGAGCTACCATTTTGGGGATAAGGGGTTGTTTTGGAGGCAAGCTTATCAGACAGATAGGAAGATGCTTCTGTGTTATTTTCAAAAGCATTTCCTACAGTTACATTCTATTGCTAATCCTAACCAACTTTCTTAGTATTTTGGCAGCACCATGACCAAATGTGCACATGAACCCAAAATCTATTCCTCAGACAAAAAACATGTAACTCCACTGGACATATGGAGGAACTGAGAAGTTTCAAACTACATGTTTTTCAAAAAATCTGGTTTCCTCAAATGGGAAAGAAAATGAATCATACTAAGTTTACTAAAGAAGAGACATTTACCCGATTGCTCTTCAGAATAATGTAAGTTGACAAGATGAAACTGAGACAAAGCTGCAGTCAGAGAAGTAGAACTGCTTTACATTTACTCATAATAATGGGGCATATCCTTAGTTTGAGAAAAATACATTCAAATGATATATGATACTTATTCTAAGGTCAGATTCCAGATAAATGCCCAGGCAAAATTTCAACAAAGTGCACTTCCCTTTGACTACTTTTCATTTTAAGAAGATTTTTGTAAATAACTAAAGGTATAATTTATTGCAGTCATCAGATATATTAACCTTGATGTATTATTTAGTAAGACCATCATTTTTTTAAAAAAATTTATTCAGAAATTGTGTAAACAATTGTACCACTTGATTTTGTACAAGAAACTCATGAATTACAACTTAGCCAGCTCATAAGATTGTGCTTCTTTAGGTTTTTAAAATGAATAAAAACTCCTTTTAAGGCAGAAATATGTGTTGATTTCTCTGCCATATGTGATTAGCCCTTTCAGTTAACTTCCATAATTCACAAATGTTTTTTCCAGCTTTGTTCTGGACAAATTCTCTAGCCTTCCAAAAATGAAGGAAGGACAAACTAGAATACAAAACAGAGCATCTAGACATGGCTATGAATATTGTATATCTTCTGTATAGACCTGCAGATAATGACCCGTAACTCTGCCCCAGAAAGATGGCAATAATCCATATGCAAATGAGATCAAGATTTAGCTGCTATAGTTCGATCTTGTATCACTACTTGCACAAGAAAGTCTTTGGCTTTAATTCTCTTCTCTTAGGGCATACTAAATTGGAAACAGGATTGGATGGGGCTGGAGAATATACAAACCTACAAATCATCTAGAAAAATTCTATAAGCAAGTTTGATTTCTTTGTTACTGTGGACCTGGGAAAAGAGAAGGTCTTTCATAGACTTCTAAAGTTTTACTTGTTCATATTTAAACATGGATTCTAGCTAATCTGAATTTGACAGGTTGTAAATAGGGGACAATCCTCACCCAGTAAAATTTTATTTATACTCTTTGGAATTGAAATGAACATCAAATCTATGTGAAGACAGCCAAGTCATGCAATTTAATTAAATGGAGTGTTGGGCTTAGCTGAGAAGTAGCATCATCCAATATCTAGACATCTGTAGTACCATTAATTTTCAGTGCACGTCCTCATGAGAGGAGACAACAACAGAAAGCAAATAGCCAGGGATAGCTTCCTAAGTGTTTGTGTGTCTGTGTGCTTTAGAATTTCTTCTAATTTGGTTTCTGAAGGAGATTATGTTAGTGATGCAACAGGTTGACAAATGGAGATTAAATTCTGCAAATTTTATGTAGCTGATATTGTACTAATGTGTTATCTGCAGTGAAACTAATGTGTCCTGATGTTAAGCCTTTTTTCTCTTAATTTTTGTTTCAAAACACAATTTTTTCATCATAGGACAAGTGGAAATTCATTGATGTAACCAATACCATAAATACTGGTTCCTAATTTGAACAGTTACTATTTGTTGTAATCTTCCCTCAAGTTTAGCAGAGTAGATAATAGAAAACACAAACGTATGCATAGACGATATCACATTTTAGAACATCCAGTTTCCCGCATAACCACTATTGGAAATCCAATAACATTACCATGATTCAACTTCAAAGTTTACTGGACCCAGCTAAAGAAGCAGCAACTAAGCAGGTACAATTTTACAGTTCATCCTTGGCCTGTCCCAGAACAAAGTTGTGCAGTGATTCGAGATCTCTGGCTCCTGTGTGTTCAGTTATTTTCTCACCACTACGGAAAAGTAAGAGTGTTGGGTAGCCATGGACCTTCAGAAAGAGAAAAAAAGAAATCAGAAAACACCATCATTTTAATCTTATCACCTTATTCAGCATATATTCATTAGCAGAACTCCATCACCACCATTCCGGTTGCATTAAATGCAATTCTATACATGTCTAAGGCATATTTAAGTCAAGCTAAATCTCTGTTGTTTTCTTTGGCAGCAATATAGATATTATTTGTCTTGACCATCTTCTGCCCTTTTAATTTCCTAATGCTATAGTCCTAGGAATTTCCCAGAAGTCTGCCATCCAAGTACTAACTAGGCCTGCCCTTTTCTAGGTGTTTCAAGATCTCCAGGTTTCCTCATACCTGTTATACCTTGTATGACAGGTATGAGGAAACCCTTTAAATCCTAGTATATGGCTTTAACAATAAAGCAGTAGGACTGACTAAACCAGAGATGGGGAGCTATGGCTCCTTTATGATTTGTAGACTTCAACTCCCAGAATTCCTGAGCTAGCATGTCATAAAAAGGCCATAGTTCCCACCCCTGGATTAAACTAATGGCCACTAGCAATTTCAACGTTTAGGACAAACTCTGGAATATCATCTAGCCTTGTGCTTACAGAAAATCTGTTGCAGACATTGCGTTGAGCAGTGCAGTCTACTTCTGCTATCTTGACATTCACTGGTCCTGGAAATTTCCTTTTTGAGAGGTTCTCCCATGTGGGAGCCAGGTTTTTACAATGTCCGCACCTGAAATGATGAGTAAATTTTATTTCGGTTTTGATAGTTGATGTAAGAAATACTTAAAAAAAAGAAAGAAAATTGAAAGAAAATCCAGCTTAGGCATATCACAATACAGTCTGTTATTAGTCACACAAGAACATTAAATACAGATATAAATATGAAGTCTTTCAGACAATCCAATTCATATCTGATGACAGAAAATTAACTTAAATCACATCTACTTCATTACACTTATAAGAATCACCATCCATTTTTTGTGAGTAGAAATCTGTATCATCCTACCAGAGGTTCATAAATATTCAACTACTCCCTTTGAATCTGATAAGTTCATTATGAAGGATTCAGGAGATTGCCTTTCTCTAGATTTAGGAGAATATGGCACAACCATCTTAATTTTGCAATATTTCTTGGAAAACAGAAGTTTGGAGAATTTGAAAATGCTTCTGAAATGCAAGATCTAAGACAAAACACACTCCCCTCTTGGTATTTGGGGAGGGAGAGGATCAATGACAAGCCAAACAGTCTGGAAACCTGTATTTCATCATTTTCTGTTGCAGTGTAAAAGTAAGCTACTTTAACAGCTCTTGTGTTCTTTCAGATTATATAATAACTGAGTTAAGGACAGTGAAAAGAATGTACCATTTAAACAAAACTTTTTCTAAGGTACTTTAAAAGAAGTTAAATTTTGCTGAATGGGATGACAAAGGCCTTTCTCTTACCACTAACTCAAGCACAATGATGGCAAACCTATGACACATCTTTGAAAGGTGACATGACACAATGTTTTGGGTAACACCGCAGCATTCATCACCTCCTGACAACTATTCTCAAATAGCACACCCTATTTTCACACTACTTTTGGAGACTGCACAAGAATGGGGTGTGCTCTGTGTGACTCTGAAGCTTCTGAAAATTGTATGAGAATGGGGTGCGCATGAAGTTTTTGGTGGCTTCAGAGGCTGTGGAAGAGCCTTCTCCAAAGATACTTCAAGAATGGGAGCCTGGTGCAACCCAGAGGCCCTTCAGTAGAAAGACAGCACTGCCTGAAGGTAAGTGGCACATGGAAGATCCTGGGGAGCACCTATGGACTGTGGGGGCAATCGTGCTGTTCCCCAAGCCTTGTGGGTCCTGGAGAAGAGTGTGAGGCAACCTTTTTGAAGGGCAGCAGTGGCACAATGGCTGAAGTTGAAATTCCAGCCTTTACCTCATGCGCAGCCTCAGTGCTGCTACTGAATGGCCTAGATGGGGGGGGGGGCGAGATTGATAAATTGTTTCTTTTTTGTTCGGGAGTGGGGGTGACACCCCAGCAGAATCAAGTTAGGCATTTTCTATTTTTTTTTTTTACAAAAAAAGCCCAAAAAATTCATCATTACTGCTCTAGCAAACTCTAAATTTTAAAAGGCAGAAATAAAGCATTTGTACATGTATGTGTAAAATGCTACATATACAAATGCATTAGTTAAAAGTTGCAATATAGTACAATATATAACTTCTTAGCAGCTCAAAAGCAATTAAAAATGAAAGTGGTGCTTAAAAGTTGGACAACAAAGATAAATAAGTAGCTGTTGATCATTTTTCTCAATAAGTAAACTGTTTTTGACTCATTTGTTTTTCTGGTTTCCCTAACTCTAGTTTTAGGACTTGTGTGAAGAAAAGACCACATTTTAGGTCATAATAGTGCAAAAATTCAAAAGGTTCACAAATTTTTAAGTATACTTGGTATTTTGTACATTTAGATTTCTTTCGAAGATTATTCTCTTTTAAGCTGCTAGCTTCTCTTTACTAGCGTGATAAATAAAAATAATTACATCCATAAATAAGGTCAATGTTTTGAGAAGTTCTAGCTGTTATATTGATTTCTACATTTCTTTCCAGTATTCCCCTAAGTAAATTTTCTTTAAAGCAGTGGTTCTCAACCTTTCTAATGCCGTGACCCCATAATACAGTTCCCCATGTTGTGGTGACCCCCAAGTGGGTGTGGCCACCAATAAGAGGGAGTAGGACAGCTAGGGAAAAGGGAACAAAATGGTGGACAGCATGGTTTGGCGACCCCCATGAAATGGTCGTTCGACCCCAAATGGGGTCCCGACCCACAGGTTGAGAACCACTGCTTTAAAGAGTATAGTTACAATTAGGACTAAACTTTATCAGAAATATTTAATCAGTGCCATATACATTCTAATCTTTTTTTTGCAAATAGTTTATTGAGAATGACACTTGAAAATCTGATTTATTTTTTATAAATTTCCCCATTTGAACTATTACATCATGAATACACTCCAGTAAGTGTTAAACAGTTTTATAAACCCTGAGTTACATCACAAAATATAAACTATAAATTCTGGAGTGATCACTTCCATAATAAATAGCACTGGAATAAGCATATAAAATTAATATTCTTCTTACGAAACAATTTTCATAAACTAGCAGTTAAAGGCTGAATTTAACATATAAATTATTAAACTCTCATGACATCTAGTTTGAAAAGAATTTATTCAACTGTTCCATACTGTATTTTTATACATGCCATCTGTTCCCTATCATTATCTCAGATAATAAAATTGTTCTTTTAAACAAGCTTGCTGTATATGCAGAGTGTGCATTACAGGCGTGGATTGTATATATTGAAAGCTACTAAGATAAGATGTACTTCTTGTTATTCAGCTTAATGTAAATATTTAGTTAAAGTAAACAGCAAAAGTAGCCTCCATAAACTCTTGGCTACTTAAACAAATATGTAATAGTACATATGGAACAGAGAAGAATATGACCCAATTTCATGCCATCATAGTTTTATAAGTGAAAGATATATACGCCTATTCCCCAAAGTTCAATATTTCTTCACCTATTGTAAGGTACTGCTAGGATGGGTCAGATGGGAAGCTTCAGACAATATGAATATGAGCACAAATGTTACATATGTGCCCAAAGATGGTCTATTCTCAATTGGAGTAAAATTCAAACCACTGAACAATACAGATCACGATCCCATTATAATCACCCATAAAATCACTGAATCCCGAGCAAATCTTAGACCAGTTTACAAATTCATATTTAATCACTTGATCATTCAAGTATATGTGATTATTACAAAATTACCAAGGAAGGTAAAGCCTATTAGAGTAATATGCTGAATCCAACATAATCAGAAGCATGTAATAAAATCAATGTCATCATTAACTTAACTCCTACTACTACTGTAAGACTAAGTCTTGATTAAATCAATTATTTTTAGCAAAGTTAAACTATCTGTATTCATTATCAATCAATAAAACTTTACAAATGTTTGTGTGACTTAGCCTTTAAAATGTTCATATTACAGACTTCATAGCCCTATACTTTCTGACATTGATATAGACTAAATTAAATGCAATACTTGCAAGGGAACAAACAGTTCTCTGAGTTACATGCAGCTGGATAACAGACAAAAAAAATTCTTAATTCTCCTTCAGGCAAAATATATTACAGGCAACCTTGAGGTTCACACAGTATGTCAGCACTCAAGACGTAAAAAATTCAACACTGATGTCTATGAATGGAGGTGGAAGTAACAGAACTATTTGAATAGATGCAAAGTTAACTACTTTCTACTACTAACAAAATAAATGAGGAAAGGAGTACTATCTGAGGACATTAAAACACTGTAAAGGGATGAGTTCAGAGAAGACTACATTACATTTTTAATAAAATTAAACAATTCTGCCTAATATCTAACACTAAACTGTAATCACAAATTATTCATAGTTATCAAATTAGAAGTTAACTATGGGTAACTTCAGTTTATCTCAAGGATTCCACTGATGTCACCAGAACAGGAAACAATTACCTGTATATAAAACTAGTCATTTATTCTATGCTATATTTTCCAATTCTATAGGATGAAGTAGGTAGCTTGGCTGGTAGTATATGCTCCACAACAAAAAGAGAAACAGAAGTTAAATACTTGTAGTATACTTTTTTCTCTGAAAACTTACCATGGAGCATAAAATTTGATGAAAGTGATCCCATTAGCCACTTCTTTATCAAAATCTTTTTCAGAGAGGGAAAGAACTTTGCCCTATAAAAAGAAATAAAGGTTAGAGTCAAATTGCCTTACCCAGGATCCTAATTATAAGCTCTTTATTATGGATATGCAACATTGGGTAGCTCCAGGAACAGCATAATCCAAACGGAAACAGAATGTTCCGGAGTTCTCTGGAACATTCTGATGCCACACTGGCAAATTCTTTAAAGGCGAAGTGGTGCAACATCTTTCCATACCCATTGCTGTTAAAACTATGTGACAGGTAAACAGATGTTGAAACGAACTGAATTTAAAATTATGGAAAAGCTAATGAACTTTTTACTGGTTTTGGTCCAGTGATCTCTTCGTTTTCCCATGGTTCTTCTTTTTGGACAGTCTTGTTTATTGTTATCCCGTCTGACCTGTCCATTTGTACCCTGTCACCTTGCTGGGTCACATACTAAGATAGAAAATACTTATGAGTATCTCAACCTGGCAACAGAGTATGATGTCACAAGGATGATGATTGAGTAAAAAAAAAAAGCAGGGAAATTTAATTTGCTGCCAACCAACAGGAAGTAAACATACTGCCTTTAAATATACGTACAATATATGAGTAGCCAAACAAAGTGAGAATGAGGAACTATTTTGGTTTTGCAAATACAGGCATATATTTGGAATTTGGCCAGAAGCCTGGCCAAAAGAAAATAATTTTTAGTGAGAGGGGAAAAAAAATCTCTTTAATGCAATAACTTTCCAAAGACCTACCTCAGGACTTGTTTCTATAGGTGCTTTGGTAGGTTTAGCATCATTCATGGCTTCCTTGGAATCTTTTAATTGAGATTCAATATACTCTTTCAAAGAATCTAAATCTCTCTTTCCTTTGTATTGGTCAACCTAAAATCAAATCACAATTATTGCTAGCTTAGCAAACATTTTCTAATGTCCTATTAGAATATGGTTATTTTAAATAGTTATTGCAGGATACAATAGCTGATAAATATATTATTTTACCAATGCCTTTGATATAGCTGGATTCCTAGCTTAATTATTTTTAAAAACCTTGAAAATCTGAATGTGTTGAAAGTACGATTCTTTGCTGAACAACACTTGAGGGAGTCATACTGAAATCAGAATTTGGTTTAATTAGGCCTAAACGGACATTAGGCAAATCAAGATCGGAGCTTTAGAGGGGGGGGGGGGAAGTAGTTTGACTGTAGTTATATACATGGGCAAAAGGAAGAGGTTTTTTTTATTCCTAGGAAAATGAATCCAAAATGGCAAGAGACGACAGAGCCAGAAAATAAAGGAAATGGCTTAAACTAAAGAATACATTCAACAGGTAAAAACAATCTTACTATTAGGCCTAAAAGAACTAAGATCTCATTATTCCAATGAGACTTCTTCATTTACACTTTGCCTGAAGGCTATCGTGACCACCTTTTATCTTCCTAATGAAATCCAGAGTTCAGAAAAGATTGCTTTTGTAAGATCAGCCTAAATAAGATTGGAACTCTTACAACAAAGTTTATTTTTGTCTAACATGCTTATGTGTTATGATTCAATAATATAACAATTTAACTTCAACAACTAGAGTGCCAGGTTTTCATAATCACATTTGAGATAGGCCTAAAAATAATCTAGCCTGAGCAATTGTGTAAAAGTAAATCTGTAATTTTACAAACAAGCCCAATTCACAATATTCTTACCTTTTCTCCACCTCTGAACCAAAGCAGAGTTGGATAACCTCGCACCTGATTTTCTGAGCAGATTGCAGCATGCTGTGTGCAGTCCACCTAGGGATTCAAGATTTTTTTTTTTAATCCACAAAACCCAAGATTATAGTGTAAATTTATGCAGTTAAGTATATCCTTAATAGCTGTTTTATAATGTTTAAGTCCATACGGTCAACTGTACAAAAGGAGCAACTATGTATGGAGCTAAACTTATTAGGAATGGTGTTTAAATAAAATACATAGTTCTACACTTACAGGCTTACAATTTCAAAACACAAAAGAGGAAATCAGAAAAAAATGCTGGCTAGAGTGAAAAAAAGGAGATATGTAAAACCAATACAATAACTAAAATGAGAATAGAATCAAAGAACGTAAACATGAGACTCAGTGTTGAAGAAAGCATAAAGATATGAATAACTTTTTAAATAATTTATGTAAGCGTCATAAAAAAAATGTCAAATCCTAAACAAAAAAAAAGAGTTTCATGCATAGAAAGCCAGGAAAGAGAGAAAGAACATTTAGAAGATGAAAACAGCAAATAATAGTAGAAATTTAACAAACAGTTTAATATTTATTGAATGGAATGAAATAGGGGGAAAACAATTAAAAGATAAGGTAAAAGATTATGAAAATAAATTGTATGCTACTAAGAGATGTACAGATGGAGCTATCCGTCTCTTGTTCATATTCTTTACGTTTTTCAAACATACATTGTGACTAGATCTTTTCAAAACCTACCGGTAAATATGGTCAAATAGAAAAAGCTACTGAGGAGAAACAACGCTAAATGTAACATTTAAACACGCTAACAGAAACACTAAATGAGTGAAGAGTTAAAAAAGCTATAATGGATTTAAGATGAGAATCAAGCAGTCTGGAAGACAAACAACAGTGTAATCAGCATGGCATGAAGAATGTTTTTTTGAAAAGAAAATGCACATTTTAAAGCATTATAAAGAGAATAGACAGACCTCAGCTAGAGTAGTAATGTGAGCCAAGCAAGGCAAAGAAGAATCAGAGAGCATATGCCCAAAACTCAACTTGCAGAGAAGACTGAAGAATTAAGTTGGGACTGAAAGAGAAAAAGAAGATGAAAGTGACAATTTAAGGGGAAACAAATCCTGTCTTGTGTACACTGATTTTGAGACAATGATAGAGCCACCTCCAAAGCAGAAACAGGCCTAATTTAATGGAAAATATTAGATAAACATTTGTGTTTAGAGGCAGTGTATCACTAAAAATCATGCTTGAGGATATTTGCTTGCATATAGAAGTTTAATTTTTTTTTTTTGAAAATCTAACTGAATTCAGCAGATTATGCTTGTTTTCTGTAATACAGAGACTTGGATAAAAACACTGGGAAACATTGTCTAATGATAGTGGGTAAGGACTAAAGAGGAAATAGGATTATCAAAAGTAAATATACAGTAAGTTTAAAAAATCAACAATTAAGGAGAATTGACAATAGTTCTTCTGTTATGACACAATGAAGATCATTAGAGACACTAAACAGAGCAAAATCTCCCTCAAGACAACTTACAATCAATTACATAAATGCCATGATAAAAACTGGAGTCTAAATATTTAAATTAAGAACTTAAAATTATTAAAGAAAACAATTTAAACTAATGGCACAGACTGAAACATAAAAAGTTAAGATTAACTAGAAGAGTAGGTAAGCATTAAATGTTCAATTTAAAGTTACAGGGCTTGGGAGAATAAAATAGATTTTTGCTAGAAAGTAAGAGATATGTCTTTCTGGGAATTTGCAAGACAGCTCTGAGAATGCATGCGTATTCTTAGCAGCTGCATCCCACTCTTCAACCTGACACTTCAACCTGAGGGGAGGGGCATCCAGAGAAGACTCTCCAAAGATGATTACAGGGCTTAGTGGAATATACAAAATAAGATACTGTGATCCCAAATCATGAAAGGCTTAACAAGTTTCTACCTAAAATGGATCCAGAAATGAATTGAGAGAGAGACTGAAATATTGGGATGATATGATCCTAATAACCCAGTTCTTGTTATTTCTGTAGCTGCTATATTTTGTGCTACCTAGTGTTTTCAGACAGTGTTTAAGAACTCTGCTCAGCTGAGATGTCAACTACAGTATTCTTCTGCAGAGGATATAAAAAACTGCCAAAGAGGTTAGGAGAACCAGCACTCTTTGTAATGAATGATGAGGGGCAAGGGCTGAGAAGAAAGGTGACCGGCTACTGTGTATTTTGTCAGCATCCTTCAGCATTAACGGCATCCAACAAAAGTAGTGATAGGAACTGAACAGAAAAGTTGGTAGCAGAACAATCAAGGTTAAGATATGAAGAACAAAACAATAAGATTTAAAATGTAATTGGTAGAATTTATCAGAATAAAAAAGGGATGAGAGCAAATCTTGAAGGCAAGGAAAATGTTAAGTAAGGAATCATACATAGGGAAATAATTAAGGATAAGAGCTAGAAGTATGGAGAAAGAAAAACCAGGATATAAAATCAGAAAAATGAGTAGGAAAAAGAAATGGCAGCAATTTATAAATTAAAGTAAAAAAAAAACCCTTAACTTTGAAATTAGGAAAAAAAATGGAAAGGGGAAAATAAATAACCAAAAAACCTTCATAAAAAGTTGAATTGTTGAATTATCAGCAGAATTGTTGAATTATCAGCTCTAATATATATGAGCTTGTATGCATTTAAATCAGGGTGCTGCTCAACTCCAGTTAACTCTGAAGATCTAAATTTATTAAGCACAGAAATTATGTTTCTATTTGACCAAAGCAGGGAGGAGAAAGAAATTAATTCATTTATTTTAAAAGCAATCATTTCTCTGTGCCTAATGCTCTGATGAAATGAGATAAGATAGTCAGGTCAAACAAATAATACTTTTAAGCCTATTGAACTCAATGGAAATAGACCAAATTAAATACTTTTGATTTCAACAAATTTTAAAGCAGCTTTCCCCAAACTAGTCCATAGGGACTATAATTCCCAAACAACATGGCTTAAAGAGTGACTCATAAGAAAGAAAATAAGTGAGGAGCAACATGAAACAAGAAAAAGAAGTTAGCAGAGAAAAGGTTAAAAAAATTACCAACCCAAAACTGTATTTTTAAAGAAGGTAAACATTTTTTTAAAGAGGCTTTCTTACGCATGGTTGAGAATTTTTTCTCAACTTTAACAGTGCACCCAATTGAATACTAAGACTAGCAGCAGGGTTTTTCCCCCAATCAGAAAGTGCTACTCCCAAAGTAATTAATTTTAGTTTATAAAATAAACAGTGTTCTTTTTTTTTTTGGCAGTGCTACTCCCAAAGTAATTAATTTTCAATTTAAGAAGATTGAACTACCTTGCCAATCAACCTTACCTTGCCAATCTTGACGGACTTTGACTGTTCAAGGGACTGAGACAACTGTTCCCAAGTAGGTGCCAATGCCTTGCAATGGCCACACCAAGGGGCATAGAATTTGATGAAGTGATTGCCTTTAAAAGAAAAGAAGGGCTGTAGTACTCTCACACAAAACAGAGTGTATTCATTCACTGAGTTATTACATACCTTTCCTTATGCAGTAAAGCTTCAAGAAGAGGCAAATCTTTGGCTTAGACCACATTCAGATTTCCATTCTCAAAGAATCACACTTTTATATTCCTGCATTACACATTAATCTTCTAGCTTTATACTTAATATCTTTAATGATTTACTCTGGATTTCTCCATCCTAATAATTCACTAAAAAGGAGAGTATTTGTTTGAAAGTCACCTTTCCTGATCTGCACCTTATAACAGAATTCCCTAACCTTTCTGGCTTTGTGGCCCAGTTGGAGGGGGAGGGGGCAAGGAGATGGTTCCACACAAGGGGCAGGCAAATGGAGTTGTGCAAATGGAGTGCAAATGGAGTGCACGCAGTCACTCGTGACTTGTGCAAGTAGGGATACTCATCCACCACTTCTGCAATCCGGTTCCAAACGGCTCAAGGCCTGGTAGTAGGCCGCGGCCTGGGGGTTGGGGACCCCTGCTTTATAATGATATATATTTTTTCAAAGTTCTCGGTCAAGTTTCCTCAAATAGCAGGAATTAACACTTGCTGATGTAGCTTAATTCTCAAACTTTACTTCGAACTTCCAGTTACATTCCCCTTTAAACCTTAAAGATCTGCTTGGGTGGATGACAGCAGCAATTGCTGGTGAATTCTCAATGGAGGAAGGTACTGGAAATGAAATCTTTTCCAATCACGTTGCAACTAATAACTCATTGGGTGGCATAAATTTAATAAAGTAGAAAAGCCCTTCAGAATACCATTCGGAACCGAACTGCCATTCACACCACAGAATAGCCAGCCGTTGCTCCCACTTCAGTCTTAAGCTGAGAAATGAGTAGGATTCATCATCGCTACTGATTTAAGCTAGACCACAGGACGGCACAACTCATGGAATGTAACATTGTTAAATGTTCCAATAATGGAGCAACTGCTACAATCAGACTATTTATCAAATTGTGGAAGGTCTATGTTAAATTGCTGTCTGGTCCAATTTTTTTTCCATTATGGGATACTATAATTAAATATTCTTTAAAATGAAACATTAAAAAGAACATTCAATATCAATGATCACAATGTTAAGTTTGATAAATGAGGGTCTTTGGTGCTCTCTGAGTTTGGTTGTTTTCTTGCAAACATTTCATTGCCCAAACTAGGTAACAGCTAGTAAAGAATGGGGCTTGTTCTCAATTCTAGTGGCTTGTGCCCTGTCAGTATTGATGGGAGTGGTCTTGGAGGTTTTTTGGTTGAGCTGCTTACTGTTAGCTTGTTTGGCAGTTCCTTGATTGGGGTATTGTTTACTTCTTGATTGTTGTCTGATGTTAATCTTGGTGTTAATCTATGCTCAACTGGGTGTTAAATGCTGGTGGGGAGGTGTTTAGGTCTTTTTGTTCCCTTTTTGGCTTGTTGGTTGTCTCTTTTGCACAGTATGTACATGTTGTTTATATCTATGGGTCTATTGATGGCCTATTTATCAGACTGCCAGGCTTCCAGGAATTTTTTAGTGTTTTTGGACTTGGCTTGGTCTAGGATGGTCACATTTCCAGTTGAAACTATGGTTAAGTCTGCCCATATGTTGTGAAATTAAAGAGTTTTCATCATGTCTTCTGCCTGCTAGTTGATGTTTGTGGATGTATTCAGTTAATCTTCTGCTTATTTGTTCTATGAAGTGGCAGTTGCAGTCTTTACATTATATGTTGTAGGTGATTCCTGTTTTTTTTTCTGGGGCTGTTGGGTCTTTTGGTTTATTTAGGATATTTTGGAGGGTTTTAGTTGGTTTGTGTGCTATCCTAATATCCAGGATATCATGATCAGCAGGTAGTGAGGTAGCAATTTATTTTCTTCTTCCCTAGTGAATTGGATTCCTTTGAAGATGTTGATGGTGTTGTGGTGTCTCAATGGTCTTTTTTTTTTATTATGGTGAAGGTGTCATCTACATATCTGCTCCATATTTGTGTTGTATTTGTGGGATTGCTATTGATCCTAGATATTGCATTACAACCTCCGCTATGAGTCTTGAAAGTGGTGATCTTATCAACCTCTGCCTAACCACATGCTTTCAATTCGACGGACAAATTTGTCAACAAATTAAAGGTACACCTATGGGATCAATATCAGACAAACAATCAAGAAGTAAACAATACCCCAATCAAGGAATTGTCAAACAAGATAACAGTAAATGGCCCAACCAAAGAACCTCCAAGACCACTCCCACCAACACTGATAGGGCAATCCACTAGAACATAAATTGAGAGCAAACCTCATTCCTTACTACATGATGTTATCTAGTTTGGATAACGAAATGTCTGCAAGAAAACAACCAAGCTCAGAAAGCACCAAGGACCCCTCATTTCAATCCCGAGCCACATATATTCTCCTTAATTTGTTTGATAAATAAATAAATAAAATTACCTTCTGCTACATGTTGCTTGAAATTTGCTTCTGAGAGCTCATAAAGACCTTGCTTTATATCAGATGCTTTTGATGGCTTCAATTTAGGTTCTTCCTCCTTATATTTAGCAGCAAGAAAAAGAACATAAAAAACAGCATGCTTAAACTTCAAAAAAATAGAGTTACAGGTAGTCCTAGATTTTTGATTGGTTGTTTAATAACTATTCAAAGTTACAAAGGACTTTAAAAAAATGTACTTATATCCCATCCTTGAAAATACTGGACCTTACAACTGCTGCTCTCTGCCCCCAGTCATGTGATCATATTTTGGGCAGTTGGCAACCAGCTCAGATTTACAACTGGATGCAGATGGCACAGTCTCATGATCGTGGTTTGCAACTATTTTGTCAGTTTGGCCAAACTTTGGCATGATTATAAATGAAGACATCCTCTTTCCCTACAGCATTTTTTTTCACAAATGAATGTCCTGGGACCACATCACCCAGAATTCCCTGTTCACATAGATATAGGTAGTGAAGTTGGAGAAATCACTAACTTAAAATTCAGAAACCACCTTTTTTCAAGAAAAATGAAGAAAGGCTGACCACAGAAGCAGCTCCTTTGGGGAGTAGTTTCTTCATGCATATATAAAAGTAATTTGTCTTTGGTCCAGTAAAGAAAACAATGGCTCAAATTTTATTTATTTCAATTTCTAAGCATCCTCTCCCCATTGTCATGAAGACAGCAAATCCTGAATTTTGAGTTACCCTGAATTTTAGCCAAAGTAATTTCTCTTTCAATATTCTTCTCACATCTCCATAAAGATAAGATTCCTGGGCTCATAAACTTTTATTCCAGAAATGTAAACACTGCTCTACTTAGCATCCTTTAACAGTTCAACTATATATTGTCTCTTGAATAAAGACTGTTTCTGATTACTTACATCATATCCCTCTCTTAATGTCTTCAACATCCATTTCTCTAGTGACTCAAGTTCTCTAGGTCCCTGATATTTTGCATCTTCTTGGTGTCGTCTAAGTAATTTTAGGCTGCAAATTTAAGAAAACAGTAAGCAAAATAGGTTCATAGTCATTTAAACTTGAAACATTTTTAAAACAATCACCAGGTTACATTGGATCTCAAACAACATTCCTCACAATGGTTTATTAGTATTAATTCTAACATTTCCGTTAATTTCAATAGCACAGCCTTGGACTTTCCAAATTTAAAATGCCATTGTTCTGTAGACTTACAAAAGCTCTTTTAAAGCAAAGACAAAAGCCAAGTTAACTCCCATGAAGACACTATCAATAAACTTTCTTTGCCCCTAAAACATAAAGTATACTTCTGTTCTAAACAAAGCTATTAAATGATTCAGATTTCTAGTTTACAAGGAAAATAATGGTTGCCTATGATGTTATTAAAGTATCCATATTCCCTTTTTTTCTCAGACTTTGGATCCATTATGCAATTCCCTTTAAAGTGTTTGCATCTTTCTTAGAAAATATTAAAAAATGGGAACAGAATGCCTGAAATAATATGGCAGAGATAAACCAGATCTGCTCTGGTATTTATTTGGTTTGCAAGGTAGCCAAACTGGAAATTAAGCCGTTAACTCTCTAGGTGAAAAACTCACTACTGTTGTAATTAGGAAATTATTTGCCATCGTTCTTATATTAGCATTTATAAAAATAATAGATTTTAAAAAACAGATCTCAAGAACTAAGTGTGATCTGCTGTTACATGTCAAATCCTTCTACCTGTGGTTTGCTAATAAAATAGTGGATGGTTTACTATAAATCAAAATGGAAAACATGATGTCATCAATGTCATCAGGTTGGCCAGGATGAATTTATGAAACTTCTACAAAAGAGAGGGTGGGTGGGTGGGGGAGTCTTCAGAGAGGAATATTTCTGCTGACTCTACCCTAATAGCCCTTGCTAATAACCTTAGACAGAGCTTTGGAATTATACTCTAAATTTCCTGGCTCCCTGCTGTTTTGATCTTGATTTAGCAATAGTTTCTTAATATAAGAAAATGATTAATACTTTTTTAGTCCTAGTCTATTACAGCAATTTGTCTACTTTCTGCTAGTTATAAAACTGTTGTGGTATATTTGCACAGCTGTGCCAAACCGAGGTAGAAACATTTGTTTACTATAAACTGAAAAGGGTCAGGTAATGAAAATATTGCATGCTCATCATTGCTTTTATCATCTTATACTGCTTTTACTACAGCGAGCAAAATAATTAAGGCAACAGATATTATAGAGACTTTTGCAGGTACTCTGGTTTTACAGTTGCATAACCTATTGCTACTTACATGGTATATTCAAAGAAAGGGAAGGAATTAATACAAATACAGAATGTCATGTATTTACAAAATAAACATTCAGAAGCTCTTTTCAGATCAGTAAGAGCTGAGGGAAAATACATAAAGTCAGTATTATTTTTTTACACATACGTTGGGTATCCCCTGACATCATGTTCAGAACACACTGGAGTATCTGCAGTGCAGTCCACTTTTGCAACATAGACCTGTGTATTATCCATGTTGTTGTATTTCTTCGCAAGTTCATTCCAAGTTGAATGAAGACTCTTGCAATGCCCACACCTGCAATTTTTTTTTAAAAAAAATATCCTGGTGAAAAAGTTGTTAACAATTCTGAATCTACTATTCTATTTTATTGAGATTAGTGACATTAGGAATTCTACAGATATCTAACTTATATTTTCTCTTCCATACATTGGATTTTATCTAAGGATAGAAGATAGGTCTTTATCCAGGTTCATTTTTTTTTTTAAAAAAATCCTTTGGTTCTTTCAAACTTTGGCAGAATTTTTTAAATATAAGGACAATAAAGATTACAGTTATTCTTTTATTGCTAATGCTACATTAGTTGATAAACTAGATTTGACAAACCAGTCCATTGGAGTAAAAGCGACATCGTTTCTTTTATATCTACTTCTGGGATAAATACAATGTAAATTTTTACTGTACTGACCATTGATTGAATGTCTATATTTTAAAAAAACTCATTGCTGCCATCAAAAAACAAAATAAAACAAAAAGAAATCGACAAAGTTCTTTGACTGGCATTATTTCTTCTCTTCAGCTCTTTCCCTGTCAGCACAGTAACCAAAGAGGAAGGTACTATATTCAGCCTCTCATTTATTCCAGGATCATTCAGTTTTAAACAGCTAGCATTTCACTTAACAATCATGTTGTCTGAATGGATAGTGTGTGACAAATTGTTTTCCTTTAATCAAAGACCTTAATAAAAGCCCTCCATCCTTAATTAGAAATTATGCATTTTGTTTGTCCTAAGAAGCTACTGGCACCTTCTGTTGTCTATGCATCAGTTCTTTGATTTCTTTCCTTCTTTTTACTTTGTCCTTTGCTTTCCCTGAGCTGGTATTTCTCAAGCAAGGATGGCTGGGGAATTCTGGGAACTGAAGTCCACCCATCTTATACTTGCCAAGGCTGAGAAATACTGCCCGCAACAAATAACATTTTGGCTTATCAGGAAATATCAGTTAAGTCTTTAAGTTATACTAGAGCAGCAAACAATTTCATCTCAAGGCATATTCGTTGTGAATTGAAAGCTCTATTAGAATGGAGCAGACAGCAAGATCCTGAGTCACTTCCAAAGGGAGGAGATAGGGATAATTTTATTTTTTTTTCTCCATAGCCCCCCCCCCCGTTTGATCTATACCAGGGGTGTCAAACTCACAATGTCATGGGACATGTTGTGACGTATTGCGACTATTCCATTGCTGGCAATGGGGTGGGCACGGTTTTGCCATGACACATCCGGCCTGCGGGCTGGCAGTTTGATACTCCTGATCTATACCAATTCCGAACTCAATCAATCTTTATTTTGCTGGCTTCTCACATCAAATTTGGTTCTGTTGTATTTAATTTTCATACAGTTATTGTTTTGACTGACAATAATTGTCCCAGCCTTCTTTACATAGGGCAAGATTTTTCTGAACCCAGAAAATGTTTTAAAGAGTGTCTTGAATATGGAACATAGAAAAAAGAATCAGCAGCTGTCTTCCAACTTATAAAAACCTCCACATTAACAGTCTAAAATCTATGATTTTGGGTGCCAGCAACCAGACAACAATTATTCTGGTTCAGTATGGCATTCCTCTTAAACTAATGAAAATCCAGGAATGGTTCTGAATTTTTGCAAGTCTGACAAAACACTCAGCAGCAGATCTTATGAGAAACCACAGGTCCTTACCCATTCTTTGAAGTTCCTAGAACCTCACATTTTTATTTAATAGCTAAATATAGTATTTATTTAGTATATGGCACTAAATATAATAAATACAGTAGTATGTTATCGTGAAGTTTCAGTGCTCTTTATAAAATACATGAAACAGTCTTGGTCTTTTTATTCTAATTCAATCTATGTCTTTCTTAGTGAACTAACATAAAGAAATAAATCCTATAAATCTCGGGTAAGTGGGGTGGACATGGAGATCAAATGAGAAAAAAAAAGACTTCATGAAATTAATTATTCTGGAACAGCACTGAAAAATGATAGCAATAATGAAGATAAAAAAAATCATACAAAAACAAACTTCTGGATATTTTGGTTGATGAACATGGCACTGATTATTTGAAAATAAATACAGTTATCACAATTTTTGCTATAAAATTTTTAAAATATAATAATTTAAAAACCAACATTTTAAGAAATGAAGAAGTAGCTATGGCTACAATGAAAACTATGAAGTATAGTTTCTAGAACTTTATTACAGCAAGTCTCATTGAATGTAGTGGGATGTGCTCCCATGCAACTCTATTGAAGAATATAGTATTAGTATTTCATAGAATTACAAAATTGGAAAGATCCACTTAGGTCATCAAGTCCAATTATATGCTCCACGAATGGATCCAGGATAAAGCATCTGTAACTGATAGGTTCCTGTTACAAGCTAAATAATATAGCTATCTTTGGAAATTGATTCCACTGTCAAACTGTCCTTAGTATTAGAAAATGTGCTGTGAAGCACAAAAGTGGCTTTCTTGGAACCTTGCATCCATAATTATATTTCTAATAATTCCATAATTATTGGAACAACAAAAATCAAATGTTGATTTTCTTCTGGGTAATAGAACTCTTGTTTTGAAGAGTGGCATACAAACACTTGAATGCACATACACATTCTTTCTTTTCAGATTCTTGAAGAGTGCTGATATCAGACAGTTCTTAAGATAAGCATTCTCACTTCCTAGGACTTAATTTTTAACCTTGATCACCCTTGCTGCCCTTCTCTGAACTGTTTGTAGTTTTTCTGAATCCAAACACAATATTCAGGGCAGAATCTAAGGAATGCAGAATAGTGGAATTACTACTTTCCATGATTTGGCAACAATTTTTCTGTGGGAACCTGAATCTGCATTTATTTATTATTTTGGCTACATCATGCTATTGACTCATACTTAGTTCATAATCAATTTCTGTTGAAAAACCTTCTCCACAAGTAATATTGCCAAGATAGGCATTCCTCTTGAACCTGAGCATTTACTTTTTGTTTCCTAAGAAAATTCTCCAATCATTTCTGCTATATTTATTTTCTTCACATTTCTCTAAGGAACATTTTATATGGATGTGGCCACATAAGACACCAGAAGTCCAACTCAATTGAAGACCTCATTTTATATTCCTCAATGACCTCAGGTTTTTGTGAACTTTCATTTTTCCCTCATTGGAACTTTCTGTTAACTATGCTTATGTTTATAGTATCTCCTTTTCTTTCTTTCTTTTTAAAGAAACACTGATCACTTTTTTTTCATAAGCAATCTCTTACTATGGCTTTCTACTTATCAATAACTGAAGTTTATTAAAATCTACTTTCTTGAAGTCTAAGATGCATAAAAGAGATAGTTGTCCACAGAAGAGGTCAGAATTCACTGAAGGTTTGCCAACAAGATGCTGGGAAGATTAAATCCTCCCATTAATAATGTGTCATATTTGTATAAAAAAGCAATTTTAACAGCAACCAAGTTATGAAATGAAATCAAAGCAAAACTTCAGGACTGATACAAAATGATTGTGATTTCACATGGGAAAAGTTAAATTTAGCAGAACAAGATCTAACGGAATAATACACTATGTTCATTCAGTAGAAGAAATTTTTGCTGGTAAAATTACAGGGGAGACAATGATTCCTATTCCACCATGACCCGCCATATGAGTTCCAAAATCTGCCATAGCCTCCCAATTTTCATAGTAGATTTTGAAGTCATGCAGAGAGGGTTGCAGAAGAAAGTTTTGCTGTTTGCAAAATATAGCCTATTTGGCAGAAATTTATCATACATACTCATCCTGGTCTAACTCAATTTTCCCATTTTATTGATGTGGAAATTTGACCATGTCTTGAATGGACTATTTCTTTTATAGAATCTAAAAACTGTTTCGATCTACACATTTTATCCCCCTAAGTCTTGAATTATTTGATTCACCATTCTCATTTACCCAAAGGTACTGTTGATATTTTTTAGACTACTATACTATGACTATAAAGTCATCAGTGCTGAGAACCAAGCAGAAATATTGACAATCAAATTTATACATGCCATCCTTATTCCATTCTATTTTATTCTTGCAAAGTGTAGATCTCACAAAGCAGTCCTTGTCATTAGAATGACTTTTCTCAAGAAGGAAATCTAGGACGCTATTTTAAGAGTAGCAATTAGATGGTTATGGGAAAGGCTGACACTGAAATATTATGTCTCATATGCCAAAATACTTTAGGCCAGCTCTTTGAATTCCTATTTGTGTCTGTATCAATGACATTACAAATAAATATTTTTAGAGCCAGTTCTATCTACTTTCCTACCTGAGCTATGAAAACCTAAGAAAATCACAAACAGAATGCTGGGCTGAGTTTGGTTTAGAAAATAGTGTTTTTAGGGATTTGTGGGTATAGTCAATACTTTCAAAATAAAATTCTAGCCATGCAGTTAATAAAACTCTAAGTATTAACTTAGAACAACCAGAGCTGATAGAATATAAATTTACAAACTGGATAATTCCACAAACAAAAATTTTCATTTTTCCCCCTCCATTCCAAACTTTCTATGTCTGTCTCTGTTTCTCACTTCTGAAATCTAATATTATGAGGGAAAGATTGTGAGGGTTGCACTCCCCACCCCAAAATCTCACAAAAATCTGTGTTTCAAACCTCAATCTCTTATCCAGGATTTTATAAGGGACTATCTATAAAGTTTGCACCCCTACAAACTGTTAGGATTGACAATAGCAGAATCTGTAACTCAGGTTGAACTGTGTGACGGGGGGAGAGTCCTCTGTGCTGGCTGAGCTTAGTGGTTTGCTTGCAGACATTTCATTACCCAACTAGGTAATATCGTCAGTACAAGCCAATCAATTCAATCTGTTCCCTTTTCATTTCTGCAACTGACTCCTGCAGTATTTTCTAGGTCCCAAGAAGTCATCAAGAAAATATCCCTGTTAGACTCTATTTTTTCCCCATTTAAGGAAATATTTCAGTTGACAAATATATATTTGATATATTTCAACATACCGGTAGTTGGTTTTTTCCCTTACTTTAGGGTGGCCTGACTGGCTCCCAAACTAATAAATACTGTGCTATTCAAATAGCATTATTTATATACTATTGACTCTTTACTGTACTTCCCAAGTTTCTTTTGTTCACCTCAAAGCAATTTTGAATAGGGCAGAGCTCACATTATGGTTACCCATAATGTCCCCAAAGCCCTATTCACAAATATTTACCATGTGCCTTAACAAACTGCATCTCCATGTTACCTCCTATTTCCCCAGCAGCCCTTGGAAATAAAAACAAGCAAATGAGCAGTGTGCTCTGAGTCACATCTGTTGACTCCTCCTACAAGCAAGTACAGCTGAAAAATATGGTTGGTCTATCCATGGTTCATTTAGTGTGTTGTCTGAGCCGTGGAATCTGGCTTGTTTCCCTTGGAAAAAGTCAGAAAAAAGAAGCTAAGGACAAACTGATGAACATAGGATTGGCTGGACACATAATTTAGTAAAAAATTCCATCTATTTTTCCATCTTTAAATTAACTTTGAAGTGGAAACATAGAGAATATCACATAAAATTCATTTAAACTAATACAAGAATCAGAACTTATAAACCATTCTTATTAAACAGGTTACAAAAATCAATGTTGGCTACTAGAAATTGGATCTAGAAAACCTGTTTCCTAGATAACATTTAAATTATGAACACAACTCTGCATTTACTGTATTGCCATTCTTGCTCTAAAACAAATCTGAGAAAAGATACGAACACGTAATTAATTGTCTGCCCTTACTGGAAAAGTTACAGTTGTCTTCAGAGAAACTAGCATGCAAATAAATTGTTGCATGGAGATACAATAGTTTATGGCTTCTTAAGTAGTTTGGTTATATTCTTAATAAGTAATTCTGCATATTGAGAAATGAAGTTCTATGGAATACCAACTCAAATTTAAGGCAGATAGATGGGGCAGAAAGCCCTATGGGCACGTGTTTTGCAGCTAACACATTACTCGTGAAAACAGCTTCTATATTTTTTTGGGGGGGGCGGGGTGAGAGCAATTAAGTTTTCAGGGAATACATCCAATGGGGAAAATATCCCGATACGTTGTGCGACATCATATGACATCACGAGTTTGACATGCCTGTTGTAAAGCAACCATTTATTCAGCAATTATTCAAAGTTACAGTGATACTGAACAAGGGAGATTATGACCATTCCTTGTAATTGTGTCCATTGTGGCATCTTGGTGGTCATCTTATTGAGATCCAGGTACTTGGCAACCAGCTGGCAATTACGAGTCTCAATATCCCAGAGTCCCATGTTCACCATTTGTGACATTCACTGCCAGCTTCCATCAAGCAAACTCAATGGGGAAGCTGGCAGGAGGTCACAAATGGCAATCCCATGACTGTGAGATGCTGCAACTACATGAGATTTGCCTGACGATGGCAACTGGGACTGCCGCCACTCTCTTGTAAGTCGGCACAGTCATGTGAAGTTTTGCTTTATGACTGGATCATTTAGCAACAGAGTTGGCGGTTTCAATTACCGTAATTAAACAAGGATTTACAGTAATAGCCTGCTAGATAAATCAATGCTTAATCATTTCAGTATTCTGTTCTCAAAATGGCCAAACAGGTGTCTACAAATGGTTCCCAGAAACTGTATTGACAGGCATGTCATACTCAGGATAACACACAGTAATCGTGACTAGTAGATTTTGGTGTAATCCGCTTTAAGAAGGTTGTGGTGATCACTGTATTTTATGGCAAGAAAACTTTTTGTGCAAAAAAACCCTTTTTGCATATTTTATTTCTACAAAAATTATACTCAATACTGTAACCTTTTTCATAGAAGAACTGTCACTGAACATTTTGTCCAAGTGTTTCTTGCATTTTTGCAGCTTTGTATCACTTTCTGAGGGTGAGCAGGACTGTATAAGGTTCAGCCAGTTTTACTTTGGAGTACTTTCCAAATAATGTTCATCAATACAAATCTGCCTATTTCACAACAGTCACATACCGAGACAAAGCTTTCATCGTACAATTCGGCACCATCCCAGTATCAACCTCCAGTGAAAGATAATCACATTGGTGTATGAAGCCTTCCTTGTTTAGGCCCACCTGCTCCCAAATTTAAGTCATCAGTAGGACACTTTGTGGTCCTGTCAAGGATGTTTGACATCAGTGTTTTCTCTGTAGTTAAGCCCCATTACTGAGTTGAAATAAGTCCTGTCCTTACTACAGTCTAGGATGAACTCAACATGCGTGATTTCAGCCCTATGAATGCCATCATTTTAACTTTGGTATGAGAGACTTTGAGTTCTAGTCCTGTGTTACACAATAAACCAGCTGGGTCACCTTGGACAATCATTTTCTCCCAGCCTTAGGAATAAGATAATGGCAAAAACCTTGCAGGACCTAATCCAAGCAGTCACCAGGAGTCAAAAACTTAAAGGAGCGTGCACACATGGACACACAAACACCACCACCATCATCACCTTGCCCTGGTTTTTTTTTCTTTTTGTTTTGTTCCATGAATATCAATCTGCAGTGCTAGACATTTGTCAGTTGAGCATCTATTTACCTTTGGAACTGATGTTGCTATTTTAAAGAAGCCTTTGTAATCTGGAATGTCTCTGCTTCACCTGTTAAAAGTTGCTGAGCTTTCTATGCCATTTGCATAAGGCCAACGAAGATTGATACATTTGGTTCAATTCTGCAGGAGCTAATATTGTACATGTTCAAGGATGTGAAGAGCTACTACAGTCAAAACTGATGGCTTCAGAAACTGACTCTAGGATGGGTTTCTTTTGTTGTATCATTCCTTTTCTCCTGGCCCTACCCCACCCATACAGCAAGTCCATCAACCTTTCTCTTCCAAGGGGAAGCTTACAAACAAGGCAAGGTCAGAAAAGATGGCTTCTGTGATTACAAACATCCCAGGATGCCTCTCTCCCCCAATTTTAAATGTTTATGTACACAACAGGAACACTTTTGGCAAGTTTTCCCACTTTTGGTCTCATCCATTCACGCCAGCGATCCCGGAAGAAGTCCGCTTTACGCCTTTGGGGAAGACAGTAACTTTAGCTCACCAGCTAATGCCAAGGAGAGATTAAAAGATTTGCTTGCGTGGAAGTGAACTCTCTCCCAAGCCTCAGCAAATCCCAGCCTCTTCCTGGCACGGTCTGCGGCTGTGGGAAGCGGGGGAGTGGGCGGGCACGCGGTTTGGGGGTAAAGCTAATCGAGGCGGGGCGTGGATGGAAAAGAGAGCCCCCTCCCGCCCCGGACTTTCCCGGCGGCTCCATGCCATCCCGCCCTCGCCGGCTGTCTCTCAGGCTGCCACAATAGAGAGAGCCGGGAGAGGACCGCGGTGTACCCTTTCTCCCTGTCCAGGCCGCTGCCGCCGCTGCCGCCGCTCACCACGGGGCGAAGAACATGATGAAGTGCGGTGCGCTCTGGACGCCATGGCGCAGCATCTCGGCGTTGTAGAGGTGCCGCGTGTAGGGGTCCGTGTCGTCGCTGTCCTCTGTCTCCATCTGGTACGCCCACGCGGAAGCCCCGCGCAAGACGAGACAGCCGAGCAACATTGCTAGGCAGGCGGCAGCAGAGGAGGCGCCGGGACGGAGAGCCGCGGCCATGACGGCGTTGCAAAGGCAGGAGCAGAAAGACACCGGCCCGGGCAACGTCGACCTGTCTTCCGCCCGCCCCGTCCTCCCTCCAACACCAGCCTCCGCCCTTAGCCCGCCTCGACGGAGAGTCAGAGGGCGATCAGGGGAGGGGCTGGAAGGAAAGGGCCGGCGACGACGACGAGGCGCGTCTTAGCTTGCTCTCTTCCCGGGGATCGGCTGTGGCCGAAGAGGGCTCGGAGGAGGAAGCGCCTCATTGTTGTATTTCAAGAACCGGCAGCTCCAGAGTTAAGGTCGGATAGGAAGTTACGCATAAAGTGGCCATGGGCAAGCCTTCCCAAATACGCGGTGGCGGGTCGCAATCTCTACTTAGGGTTCACCCCCAGACTTCTTTTGATGAGAGCCACGGTTTTGAACTGCTTTCATTCATTGTCAGGAAGTCAGTGGGCACCTTTGCCAACTACGAGCGAAACGGTGCCAGTCTAATTCCATTATCTGTAGCTTTCTATTAAGGAGGTGGGTTATCTGCCATGTGAAAGAGAACATAATATTTATTTGCATGGCCCTATACCAGAGAGATAACAATGAAGGTAACAAACCCACAAGGCGGGATTTATTTTGGGGGGGCAAATCACGGTAAATGGCCATCAGAAAACTTTGAATTTTTTGTACTGCAAAAGAGCTTATAAGAATGAATTTGTGTATTAGTATCCCCAACTGAGCAGAGGAATCCATTTTTCCAGCTTCTTCTGGAAAGCCTGACAGGTTGTAGAATCACAGAGATGGCAGTTCAAAATCCCACTTATCCATAAAATTCATTGGATGAACTTGGGCCATTGGTATCACTCTTCAAAACCTATCTCAAAAGAGTTTGGAGGATCAAGTGGGAAGAAAATTATCATCTTGCCTACCTGAAGTTCTTGAGATATGTATATTATAAATAAACTAGCAAATCTGTGAAGTCTGAGTGTAAAATTGCATGCTGAGCAAGCTTAAGCCCCATTCAGGCTAATCCAATTCAGTTGTGAGCAAATTTACATAGGATTGTGCTACGTATATTGAAGTTTCATTAACTGCATTGAATACACTATTAATATAATGATTAATTCCTCTGAGTAGGCCCTTGCTTTAAAATTTATAAACCTAAAGTTGTCAACCAGGTATCATTAGGAAATTCAGGAGAGTAGCTCTTTTTTTCCTGCTACCCAGCATTTTATTTATTTATTATGGCATTTAAAATATACTGCCTATGATTGAAGAGATGGTATACATTCACATTTAATTAATTGGTCAAGCTAGCTAAATCTCATGTTTTTACAGAGTTGCAAGAAGAGTTTTACTTGTATGAATTGAAAAATATTATGACTGAGCAATACGTGACTAGTGTAACTTGTGGACATGCCCATACAGTTTTCTAGACAGCAATACAGAATTTACCATTGTTTTGTTCTAAGTTGGATTTTGGAATTCCTTCTCTTAGATGGGCTTCTCTCTTGCTTGCAAAGCTCTACTTGTTCTCACCACCACTAAAATTACTCTTTAGAACAGTGGTTCTCAACCTGTGGGTCGGGACCCCATTTGGGGTTGAACGACCATTTCACGGGGGTCGCCAAACAACGCAGTCCGCCATTTTTTTCCCCTTTTCCTTAGCTGTGCTACTCCCTTTTATTCTATTGGCTTTTGAAAGCCAATAGAATAGACTCTCTTGAATAGAGTCTAATTCTATTGGCTTTCAAAAGACAATAGGAATTGTCCAGGCTGTCTCTGCCCTGCTGAGCCCTCCAAAAGTCCCATTCTGCAAACGGTGCTGCACCAGTTGAGTAGTCCTCGACTTACGACCGGTTGGGGGTCGCCACGGCATTAAAAAGGTTGAGAACCACTGCTTTAGAAGGTCCTTCTTTTTTACCATCAAGATTGGTAGCAGTTCAGACTTCTACTGAGGGATTACAGTATTACATTTTCTGAAGCCTCTCATCACATTAAGGTAGTAAGAATACTTAACAATAAAGATTACTATACATAAAGCATTGATCTTTACATGATTATGAAAGCTGGATGTTGAGAAAGAGGGAAAGAAAATATAGACATCTTTAGTTTATGAACTGTGATGGTAACTTAAGAGTACCCGAGACCGCAGATGAATTAATGAGTCATGGACCAAGTAAAGATTTATTGCTCCCTTGAAATAATAGCAGCAGGCAAAACCTCACACACTTTGGACATGGAATATGAACAAATGTTCAACTAGAAAAATAATTATGCTTGGCAAAGCTGAGTGATGAGATCAAAGAGATTATTGAACTTTTCTTGGAGGAGCTGTGGATTATTGGTGGAAACAGAGCAAGATGTTGAGAGTTTGCTCATGCAGCTGAGCCCATTTTTATAGCAGCAAGCAAAATGTAAGCCATGAAAACCATACCTGATGACCTGGGCGAATTTATCAATTCACTTTTACAACTATCTATATTGATGCCCATCCTTACACCTGAATGGCAGCAAATCTCAAAAGCTAATTATGCATTGCATAAAATGTTATTTATCCTTCCTTACATTTACCGTAATTTCAATGAGATTTTAAAAATGTAAACATGTCTGTGAGAAAGACAAACCTCTCCTTTCACACTGTTCACATCATTTACGGGTTGAAATCCTTGCTTTATATCTCCTTTTACTTTTGATTTAAGTTCAAAATCCCCAGTTATTGTGGCCTTTCCCTCTTGGGTAGCTCTTCCTAGTCCCTTAATCGTTGTGTTTGCTCTTTTCCAGTTGTAGAAGATTGTTTCTCAGGTGAAGTGTTGATCAAATTATAAGGAGCCAGTTGGGAGTAAAACCATCTGCAGATTTCAAGAAAGACTTTTCATAATTATTTCTCCTGGGAATGGGGGTGCCTTAAGTCCATATTAATATGGGGATTAAAAGCAACTAAGCATGGCTTGCTTGAACAAGAACTCAGCCTGGAAACCTTTGAAGCATATGACTAAAAAAAGTGATATCCCTGAGTTCGGATCTGTTGCCATTAAAAATCAGCAATCTAATGTTTTCACAACACTTGAAAACTAGTCTTTAAGTAAAACTCAAGTGAATTATATTAAGCTATTCTTTGGATTTTAGCTGAATGGTGCAAGAGGCTTAACCCCCCCCCCCTGCCGCCAAAAAAAGATCTTGCATAGTTGATCCTGTGCAAAAGAATATAAATTTGGGAAGTATAAACTGAAGAATCAGTTCGCGTCAGATTTAACAGTTGCCAAAATGGGATTTTTTTGCTGCTTTGTCCCATTTCCCAGAGCTGAAGAGGACATACAACAATTTTACTTACTCTGTATTAAACTTCATTTTGAAGTATCTAAACCACACTTGGTCTACATTAGCATCCTTCATATGTGAGGTTACATCTCCCAAGATCTTTTGTAATGGCTATACAATTGTAGTTGAGAAATTCTAGAAGTTGAAGATCATATATACCAGGAGTCCCCAACCCCCAGTCTGTAGACCAGTACCGGGCTGCAGCATGCCAGCAACCGGGCTGCACAAACAAGCAAAGCCTCATCCACAGGATGCAGGCAGCACACAAAATCATGCACCTTCTGCTTCGCGGAAAAACCTCTCCACAGAACCTCTCCCTGGTGCCCAAAAGGTTGGGGACCTCTGATATATATTATCGGTAAAGTGCCAGGGTTAGGGAAAACTGATTGAGAGAAAACCTGTAACCAAAACAGATTCTAAATCAGACAGTGAAATACATCAGGCCTTTTCCCCCCTTGCAAATGTATTAAATCATAAAATGGCACTCAGAAGTCTACATTTGATTTATTTTATTATTTATTTATTAAATATATAGGCCGCCAATTTTAACTCAAAGTAATTGATTTGGGGTTTTATCAAATCTCAATTCTTTTCTGCTATTGAGCTATGCTTTGCATATTTAGTGACTGCTATCAAATTTTTGCAGTGTATTTTTGTCCAAATCACGTTTCCCTCCTGGTTTTAGGTAATCATTCAGTTTTTTTATAAGACCCTGCAAATTTAAGCTGAAGGCCCTTCCTGAACTCCTTTGGTCCAATTCTCCTGTGAGGAACAGTATTGGCTGTGGGAGATGATAATGTCATTGGGGTCTCTAAAACAATACACATCCATCATTGTTACCATTACACAAACTATGTATATTGAGAACTGTTTTCTGAATTTTCAGGCTTTTCAAAAAGCACTATATCTTTTTCCTTATCTGTTGCATCTTTTTAGAATGCTACCTTGGCATATTTTTTTATTATTCTATAAACCACTATTCTATATTTATATTCTATAAATGGGAGCTAGAAAGTTGAGTGCATGGGTGTTCCTTAACTTATGACCACAGTTCCTTAACATACAACTAGAATTTCCACTGCTAAGCATGGCTGCTAAGTGAATTGAGCTTGATTTTATAACCTTTTTGCCATGTTAGTGAATCCCACGGTCGTGAGTCCAGCTTCCCCCATTGACTTTGCTTATGGGAAGCTGATTGGGAAAGTTGCAAATGACAATCACGTGACTCTGGGACCCTGTAACCTTCATGAATTCATGCCAGTTGCCAAGCACCCAAATTTTGATCACATGTCCATGGGGGAAGTTGCAGCATTTGTAAGTGCAAGAATTTGTCTGAAGTCACATTTTTCAGTGCCACTAACTTTGTTGCTAAATGAATGGTTGTAGGCTTTGAAAAAGAAAACAGAAAGAAAAGAACTGATTGTTTGAACCTGCTTCAAGTGAGAACTCTGGGTTGATTTGTTTTATGATCCGTTCGCTTGTTTTCTTGGCTGCCCATGATATGCTCAGGCTTTCCCCCAAATTTCAAATGTTAATACAGTGGTAATATTTATTTCCCTAATACAGTGGTAATATTTATTTCCCTACCTTTTCTCTGAGAGCTCAAGAGGATATATAAAGAATTATCATCTAATTATCTCCTTGCTGTAACAATCCTATACAATAGATTAGGCTGAGAGCAAATGACCTAAAATCAACCAGTGAATTCTAGAGTTGTATAGAGGTCTTAAGCAATGTATTATGCTGGTTCTTAGATTTCAAGAACCATATATACCAGGGATGCTTTCAGGAAGATCCAGAATGTTTCCTGGCATTTTGTTCCTGACAAACAAGTCAGGAACAAGTGAGGAAGCACTTAGAGACCCTGTGTATGTTTGCCATAGACAGAAGATATATTGAAACAGTCTAATGCAGACATGTCAAACTCGCAATATTACGTGATGTCACGTGACATATTGGGACAGTTTTGCCATGGCCGGCAATGGGGTGGGCGTGGCTTCCACATGATGTGTCCAGCCCACGGGCCGGCAGTTTGACACCCCTGGTCTAATGTGTTACATCATCAGGCTTGGCCTATTACCTTTCCGGTAAGTATTGCTTTCAGGTAAGTAAACAAAATATTGTAGATAAAATATATATTTCCCCCCACACCTGCAACTTTCACAATGCTACTTTCAGTAATAATCTATCAGGTACCTAGCTGATTAACAGCTCTTAAGTGTTGTTTTACTAACCAAATTCATCATTTCCTTCCGTTGGTTCTTGGAAGGAATCAGTTTTAGAGTTTTGTTCTGTTGGTTTCATAGCTTTAAACTTTGAGGTAAAGGAAGATCACATCCTACCGCACTTTTTTTGAGTAACTAAAAGTGCCATTGGATTGCTTTCAGAATTTAAGAAGGGATGGTCCTTCAACGTTAAATTTACGTTACACATTCAGCCAGGACTCAAGGAATTCAGATTTAGTGCATTCTGTAAGACTTTTCCACAACTTCGTCCTCATGATATCTGAGCCAGGAATATGACTTGCAATAAGCCATATTAATTAAGACCAGGGGGTGCTTGATCTAGAAAATATGTTTCCTCTTGAATATGGATGACACC